AAAAAAAAAAAAAAAAAAAAAAAAAAAAAAAAAAAAAAAAAAAAAAAAAAAAAAAAAAAAAAAACCTACTCCCCTTAATAAAATTAATTAAGAGATGCCTCATTAAAACCGCTCGACCTAGAGAGTCGTAACGTAACAAATAACAAGTTGTTATGCATCTTTATTAACAAAAATTAATAAATAGTAATATGTAAGAATTAAGTTGTTAATTATTTTCCAAAGTAGTTAAATATAACTCTCTATAACTAGATTTTCTCATTAATTATAAAATGAACCAACCAACTAATATATATATATATATATATATATAGACACACACACACACACACACATAACAAGGGGTATTTGTGGGCTCGGGTATTGCCGGCCCATTAAACCAGGTTTTGACCCGACTAAACAGACCCAACCAGGACTGTTAGCCTCTTGGACTGTTAGTCTGGCAGTTGGGGCCCTAACACAAACTCGGTCAAACTCACCAAGAAACTAGAGAGAGAGAGAGAGAGATGATCGCAGACAGAGCCGAAGACGAAGAGAAATGGCTTGCCGCCGGGATGACCGGTCTACAGCAGAACGCATTCCACATGCATCGCGCTCTGGTAAATTCTCTCGTGCCTTGATTTTGAGCATCACAATTTTCCGAATCCCGATTGGTTCTCGGGAAAATTTTGATGAAAGCCCTAGGGACTTTTTACATCTAAGGTCTTAATTCTCTTCCTCTTGTTGCGGAATCTCGTTTTTTGTTCAGGATTCGAACAATCTCCGAGACGCGCTAAAATATTCCGCTCAGATGCTCTCCGAGCTTCGGACCTCGAAGCTTTCTCCTCACAAGTACTACGTTCTCTGTGAGTCGTTAGATCAACGTTCTGGTCTTATTCAATCGTGTGATATTTTAGATAATTCGTCGTTTTAGGGAATCTGTTTTGAGAAAATTCTGTGGATTTGACATTCATTTCTGTTTGGTGCCTCAGACATGCGAGCATTTGATGAATTGAGGAAACTCGAGATGTTCTTCAAGGAGGAGGCGCGGCGCGGTTGCTCTGTTATTGATCTGTATGAACTTGTACAGCACGCCGGCAACATTTTGCCAAGATTGTAAGTAAATTTTTTATGCTCTTTATTCTTGAAGACATAAATAGACAACTTTTGAAACCCACTGTTCATCTTTTTAGAGGTTGCAATTTATGTTTCTGTCCTTATTAAACTAGTATTCATTACGAATGAGTGTATATGGTATATGGAATTTTTTATTCTTCCATTAATTGGAGCACTTGGAAATTGGAATAAAAAAAATAGAAAAGAAGGTGATTAAAATGACACCAGGGTACTGCTTTCGTGCTTAGGTTCCCTCTTATTTGCCTCAAAAGGTGTTGGTCTTGAGAGATTATAGACTTGTAAAGGGTGTTATCTCTGTTATACTGATATAGTTATAAGATTCTTGTTTTAATCTTGTAGTTATTAGTAAGTGCATATTAATATGCGATTTGATCAGGTATCTCCTCTGTACCGTGGGATCTGTTTACATCAAATCTAAGGAAGCCCCTGCTAAGGACGTTCTTAAAGATCTTGTGGAAATGTGCCGTGGAATTCAGCATCCTGTACGTGGGCTCTTCTTAAGGAGCTACCTCTCCCAAGTCAGCAGGGACAAATTGCCTGATATTGGTTCAGATTATGAAGGGTTAGGAATAACATAGTTATTATGTTTACTGTAACCTGTATGGCTTGACCATTTATTATGTAACTGTAATTCTCTGGTAAATGCTTATGGAAGGAGAGAAATAGTCTGCGTAAGTGTGGAGTGAACCTGATCTAATGATAATTTCCTTCACTTGTGCAGTGACGGTGACACTGTCGTGGATGCTGTAGATTTCGTACTTCAAAATTTCACAGAGATGAACAAACTTTGGGTGCGGATGCAACATCAGGTTGGTTGATACTATTATGGTGCTCTCATGTTTGGACATGCATAGGTACTGCAATGCTTGCATGTCTTGGAGGTAAAATTTATCATGAGGGCATGATTTATGGTCATGCAGGTGTTGTAGTGCTTGTGAATGATTCATACTCTTAGCTGATCCTGAGTTGAGGATTGCTATCGGGCTTTCTGGTCTGCAGGGGCCTGCCCGGGAAAAGGAGAAACGGGAGAAAGAAAGGAGCGAGCTACGTGATCTTGTAAATATCAGTAACTGATAGCTGGTTGGTTTTGCTGCAATACTACTATGCACATGTTGGGCGCACACTTACAGAGGGCTTCTCTGTTGTTCCCTTTACTTTTATAGGTTGGAAAGAACCTGCACGTGCTCAGTCAGATAGAGGGGGTTGACCTTGAGATGTACAAAGAGACTGTGCTTCCCAGAGTTTTGGAGCAGGTTGATACGTTCAGTTTATGTTACTCTCTTTTCTTTTCTTTTTGTCACCCAGAGTTTTTGAGCAGGTTGAGACGTTCAATTTTAATGATTATGATTTCATACCTTATGGAATCTTACTTTGTAATCTTTCACTTTGACAGGTTGTGAATTGCAAAGACGAGATTGCACAGTTCTATCTGATGGAATGCATAATTCAAGTCTTCCCCGATGAATATCATTTGCAAACTCTTGACGTGTTGTTGGGTGCTTGTCCCCAGCTTCAGGTTGGTGACATCATTGGTGTTTCCTTATTCCTGAATTTGTTTTTTCCACTTTAGCATCATGTTGTGTCGTCACTTTTTCTCATACATGGAAAATGTGAAGTTCAGAGAATATTAAGTCTTTTACCCCATTGTTAACTTTTGTCCCTAATCATATTAGGGGCCTTCAGTTTATGTACCGTTTTTACTGTATTAGGCCTACAATTTGGCACATTGCACGATTGTATCCAATTTAACGCATATTTTCTAATTCGGAACTGTTAAAAAATTACTGTAGTATATTAAACTTCTGGTCCTTTCGCTTTGCTGCTTGTTTGCTGCTGTTTACCAGTGTTATCAAACACTTTGATAAATAGCATAATAGTGAAAAGGATTTATTAAAAGTGAAAAAAGAAGTTTGTCACAAATTAACATTAACTAGTAGCAAATTTATATTGATTCAAGGGACAAATAGAACATATGACTGTGATAAATCACTAAGAGTATGATACAAAAGTTGGTCTTGTGCCAATAAAATATATGGTGAAATTGATGGTGTAAATATTTTTCTGAAATTAAGTTTTATTCATGTATTTGATTTGCTCTCTCTGTTTTGACTTTGTTTTTGTTTCTCAGCCATCTGTTGATATCAAGACAGTGCTGTCCCAGTTAATGGAAAGGCTTTCAAATTATGCCGCTTCAAGTGCAGAAGTGTTACCTGAGTTCTTGCAAGTAGAAGCTTTTTCTAAATTGAGCAATGCCATTGGGAAGGTAAAATCTTGTGTGGCCTTAAAGAATTTACAAATAAGGTGCTATTAATAAGTATGTTTACTTAGGCAATGAAGGTTTTGGTAATGTTTCATTTGAGTTTTACAATTTATTTTCTCTGATTAGTTCAACTTTCACTGACAATTCTCTGATGTTGCTCTGACTGAATTTTGAAAGGTGATATGATCCTCTTCAATATGTTTTAAGTCTTCGTGGTGACTAAAATATTATGATTTTATTCGTAGTTCAACTTCCATTTCATTTATCCGTTTCCTTGCTCGTCTTTTTCTTCATTTATAATTTTAGCCGTTTCCTGCCTTGATTTCTTTTTTTTTTTTTTTAATTTTGAGATTTGCTTTCTTATGAGTTGTTTCATGCTAACTCTTTCAAGTATGTGATGCTTTGACCCATCGTGTGAATCATGGAACTGATTATTAACAGCTGTTTCTAATAGAATTTGTCTACTTGTTACATATCATAGAGATTTAAATGGTCATTTAGATATTTTGCCTTTTGTTTTTCGTTTTGTTTCTCTATCTGGCAGAGCCACATTTTTCTTATTCTGTTATTCATACGTGTTGTGTTACAATATGAAATATTATATTCAGCAGTTGATGACACATGTATTCTGATGCAGGTGATAGAAGCACAAGTTGACATGCCTACTATTGGAGTTGTAACATTATATTCATCACTTCTTAAATTTACTCTCCATGTACACCCGGATCGACTCGATTATGCGGATCAAGTACTGGTATGTTCATGTGACTTTTGGAGGTTTGCCTCACATTTTCTTGTGGCGGCTCTTATGCATTTTAAATAATATCGAGCACAGATGTAATTCCTACTGTCTGTTTTTTTAATCAGGGAGCTTGCGTTAAGAAACTCTCTGGCAAAGGGAAGATCGAAGACAATAAAGCAACAAAACAGATTGTCGCACTTTTGAGTGCTCCACTTGAGAAATATAATGATATTGTCACTGCTTTGAAGCTTTCAAACTATCCCCGTGTGATGGAATATCTGGATAATGAAACAAACAAAGTCATGGCTACTGTTATAATTCAAAGCATTTTGAAAAATAAGACTCAAATTTCAACCGCTGAAAAGGTATAGGGTGACTCATTGTTTATCCTTAAGCTTTCAAGTCCGATTCTTAACAAATGGGTGATTTATCTTCTTATAGATGGAAGCATTGTTCGAGTTGATAAAAGGACTTATTAAAGATTTGGACGGGATTCCCGATGACGAGGTCAATCTTGTTTTATTAATCTGCCATGCTAATTTTTCAGTAATAGCTTCTTATACTTTTATTGCACTCTACTTATTTATAAGTAAGATTCTTATACTATATTATTTGATTGTGAGTAAGGTAAAGCATTTCTGTGTCTAGGCCTATAATTTTTTGTTCCTACTTCAGGGTGATATATGAACATATTTCTTTTTTTGTTGTCTTCCAACTCTAGCTTGATGAAGATGATTTCAAGGAGGAACAAAATTCTGTTGCTCGACTTATTCAGATGCTTTCCAATGATGATCCGGAAGAGATGTTTAAGGTATTAACTAAGGGATGCTTTTCCACGTTTCTCCGTATTTGAGTTCAATCTCTGCGTCTTTTTTTTAATAAATAAAAGTAAGGTACGCGTTATGTATCTAGTCAGTGAAGATGGAGAATAAGCAGCGGCGTGAATTTCAAGTTTTCAACTTTATGTAGTTTGTGTTAGATGTTTACAATTTGGGTCTGGATATTTTTTAGCTAATTTTGATGTTGTTCCTTATTTTTCATTGCATTGCAGATTATATGTACCGTGAGGAAGCACGTACTCACTGGAGGACCAAAGCGTTTACTTTTTACTGTTCCTCCCCTGGTTTTCTCTTCTCTAAAGGTTTGCTTCTATTTCTCCAACTACTTCTGGTAAACGCCTTATGTATGTGGAACAGTGGGAGTGATACCAACGGAATTTCTGAAGTAGCATGGTTAATTATCTGTTGTGGTGTGTCGTGATAGCAGGTCTAGCTTTGTGCTTTGCGTTTCAAGATACTTTATAGATACGTCATACTTTTAATATAGGGGCAGCGGGCTTTCCCCTTCCCTCTTTTCATTCACATTTGTTACCAACTGAGCGACTCTTAATGAGAAGCGTTGACAGTTGGAATCTAGTTTATTTATGATGTGTAGTGAAACCACATTTGGACTTCGGAGCTTACTCTGTATTCCATCTTGGATGTGCAGTTGGTTCGGCAATTGCAAGGCCAGGAAGAGAATCCTTTTGGAGATGATTTATCTACTACGCCAAAGAAAATATTCCAGCTTTTAAATCAGGTAGTATATGTCTAAAACGAATTTCTATTTTAGTTGTGTTCATTATTATTATTATTTTTTTCCTTTTAACTCATTGAGAAGATTGAGATAATATCCTCTTTCACATTGTTCTCTATTATGTTGTCAAATTTTTTTAGTTTTATATTTCTTCAATATATTTATTTAATTTTTTTGTTTGTTTGTTGATTTCAGACTATTGAGGCTCTGTCAAGTATTCCGGTACCAGACCTAGCATTACGGCTGTACTTGCAATGTGCTGAGGTAAATAAAAATTGAATATGTTTAGGCCTTTCATATAATGAAGCACATGACCGGCATTATTCTTACTTGCATGTGTCTCTGTTTTGTGTATATTAGGCTGCAAATGACTGCGAATTAGAACCTGTTGCATATGAATTCTTCACCCAGGCATATATCTTGTATGAAGAAGAAATCTCAGTAAGTTTATTGGTAGCCCAAGAACTATTTCCGTTTTTTCCCCAGTTTCTTGCACGGAATGTAAGCTGTCTCTACTTTACTTTCTGCAATAGGATTCAAAAGCGCAGGTGACTGCGATACATTTAATAATTGGGACTCTCCAGAGGATGCACGTCTTTGGTGTTGAGAACAAGGATACTTTAACACACAAGGCCACTGGGGTAATTATCAAGAAACTTTTGAAGCTATATTAAATGCCCTCGCTCTCCCTCAGAGCTATGAAATTTTTTTCAACTGAATCATATTATATCTTTTTTTCCTCCCCTACAGTATTCTGCGAAGCTTTTAAAGAAACCAGATCAGTGCAGAGCTGTTTATGCTTGTGGACATCTCTTTTGGGTTGATGATCAGGAGAACATGAAGGATGGAGACAGGTAAGTTTCCATACTACTGTTATTTATGGCCCCAAAGTATTTAGTCTTTGATTGGAAGCTGTATATATTTGATTAGCTCTTGTCTTTTTATTTTTATTTATTTATTTTTTAATAACAATCAAATTTCTATATATATATATATATATATATTTTAACAAAGAATTTACCTTTATTTTTAACCAGAGTCCTGATATGCCTGAAACGTGCTCTAAGAATTGCAAATGCTGCTCAGCAAATGTCAAATGCGGCACGAGGCAGCACGGGTTCGGTGACACTCTTTGTTGAGATACTGAACAAGTATAGTTGCTCCTCTGATCTTATCAAACTTAATGATAATTCTCTTTTCCCCCTCTTCTATTCAGAAAACATAGACAGGCTTACCTTTGTATGTCTGCAGATACCTCTATTTCTTCGAGAAGGGTAACCCACAGATCACCGTCGCTTCAATTCAAAGCCTGATCGAGTTGATTACAAACGAAATGCAAAGCGAGTCAACGACACCAGATCCAGCTACAGATGCTTTCTTTGCGAGCACGTTGCGGTACATTGAGTTCCAGAAACAGAAAGGCGGTGCTGTCGGAGAGAAATACGAGCCCATTAAAGCTTGAAATTATCTGGAGAAATGATATGAATAGGCGTTTCTTTTTCTTTTTTTCTTTTTGAAGTTCATAATGGATCTTTCTGTCTTCCAGACTGTTTCTCTTTATATAAAGCGTGGCTTATGTGCTCCTTTAGTCATTGTAGGCAATCATTTGATCATAGGAAGTTTATAAAGCTGTTGTGCTACTACAACATGCAATATCCCCCGTGACATCTAGCATACTTAAAAAAAATTTCTGTTTGGTTCATAATTCTTAATTTTATTCTAATAATAAGTGTTTGAATGATTATGGTTTGGTTCGCCATCACAAAGATGTAACTAATCCACTCTTGACAATCACAAAAAGATAAGATCGCCCGCCCTCACCCACAAACAATCTCATCCCAATTCCGTTTTAAGTTGGCGGGATATTCTCATTTTCTTTGTTCACTCGGTTGTTTTCAAGATATAAAATAAGAGTAAAAACTAGTTAAAATAAAAATAATTTCAGCTATCATATATTATGAATAATATGACATTACACTTGACACTAGATATTTATTGTAATATTACGGCACACTATATTTAATTTATGAATAAAATACAATTGAGCAGGGCGACTTGAATTTGATTAGAATGGGTTTAACCTCATTTTAGGACCCGTTTAGTTCGTTGATTCGAGTTTTTAATTCGAGTTGAGATGTGACTTTATGTGAGAGTTTTTTACTGTAGTAAAAAAATTATATGTGACTGTTTCTGAGAGCTTTTTACTGAAATAAAACTTGAATTTTAAACTCATATCAGTGAAATGAACGGGACCTTGCCTCTTTGCGAAGATTTATGGACAAAAATGTTAACCGCAACCCATGTTAGTACCAAAAGAAACCAAACTGCTAAAAATGGTTCCGACCATCTGTTTTCTAGACTCTTTGGAAAACAGACGAGCTAATTAAGGACCCCAATCTCCCAAAGGCCTAAGCTGTTCTCATCTGTTATTAGTGTTCTTCCTTTCGTTCTGCCTCGTAAGAACCTCTTGTAAAGGGTAAATATGATACCATCTAACTATTTATAAAACATGTAAAACTAGAGTTGCCATATTTGAACGGTTAAATGCCAAGTATGACTGTTAATCATTTGGATACGTAAAAATTTTCTTGTAAAGCATAGAGCCTCCGATCGAAGAATGAGATTATTATACATATGGATTGATTTTGACTGTTACTCCAAAATTTATTCTCGTGTTTTAACTCTGTACAATTATAATAAATTTAGTAGTTAACCAAAAAATATATATATATATATATATGTATATATGACAATTAATCAAATTAGATTCTTATACACCATTTAATGAGTAATTATCGATGAAAATATAATCATTATATATATATATATATATATATATATCTTTTGAAGGAACCAAGCGCACATATTACTATTAGCTCAACCAAACTTGTTTGTGGATGGGGAGATTCCTGCAGACACTTGAAGACCAAAAGCAAACCAGATTCTATCTGTCACCTAACGATGATAAATATACATATTTTTGGACGTATTTATCATTTGGATTAACCAACGTTATTCGTATAGAGTTTCTTATGGGTCTTTCCATGGTTGGTTTGTCATTGTCGACAAAAGTCCTACACCTAAATCACTCTTGTCCATTCAATCTCAAACCACCATATCAATTATCTAACTTTGGAAATGCAAAACGACAGATAATTGTTTCATGAAAATCATATTCCAACTCCCCAACATAGTTAGATTTAAAATCTCACTCAATGTCTAGACACTACAGTGAGCCAAAAGTTAAAAATACAGAAATTATCTATAAGAAACCCAAAGCAATTGCCAAGCCTTTTAAAAAGCACAATACAAAATGCAATAACATAACTGTGTCCATAAAAAAAAAAAAAAAAAAAAAAAAAAAAAAAAAAAAGGAAGGTAGTTATCCTAACTGGGATATTCCAGTCTATTTTAAAAAAAAAAAAAAAAAAAAAAAAAAAAAAGCAAGGTAGTTATCCTAACTGGGATATTCCAGTCTATTTTAATACATTAAAAAACAATCAAAACCTGGAGTTAAGAGAAGGTCGGTAACCATTGCAACTCAACAATAAAGGATCACAACAATTCCAAGGAGGAACCACACCAAACCACCTGATGCTTCAGGGTTTCCAGAGTATATTGTTAAAGGTTAAACAATATATCTCGGGAACTCTAACTTCTTCAGGAGAAAAAGGTAAAAGAGGACAAGGAAAAGGAGGGAGGAGGGAGATTACAGGCAGAATGGAGGGTTGTTGTCTTTCTTTACACCTATATCCAATCACAATATGGAGCACGCCTTTTGTGCTTTGCTTTTCTTTTTCTTCTGCTTTGGCGGTTGAAGGACAACCCTTATAGCTACATCAAACACTGCCTTCACATTCTGCACATACAATACAAGCCAACTTATCAAGAAAAAATTCCTTAGTCATCAAAAAGAATGCACGAATTTATTGAGGAAGTAACTACACGAACCTGCTGCGTTTTCGAACTGCATTCTATGTAAGCAGTTGCTCCAATGAGCTTCCTGAGCTCCTCCCCCTAGAATTGGATGGAAGGTAAACATAAATAGATGACAGAAAAACAAGTGACGAATCAGATAATCTGTTGTAACGTGTCAAGCAGGAAATTTTCACCTGAGTTGTAGTAATAGGTACGGCACCAGGATGGTCTATAAAGAACTGCTTGTCATCCCGAAGATCTGACTCGTCAAAACCAAAAATGAGGGGGGGGGAAACAAAAAAGTGTAAGAACTCTTACTTAGCAGAGATGATTATTGATGGCTCATGCTTTATGCAAGAACTTCTATTAACTAATCAATCTGGTACCTAATGGTATGATATGAAATTGAGCCTTATCATGGAAGAGTATGGAAACACTGCAAACAAGTTTGTTATAAACAGAAACTACATAGCAGCTAATAATTCAAGAACTCCACTCATGAAATTTGATCAGAACTTAATATTAGACCAATATTTGCATTGATGGTTCATTAGTAAAAATGGTATTTGCAATAGAAAGATGAAACTTTACCAAGTTTAGTTCCAACAAGAATGATTGGAACACCAGGTGCATAATGCTTCAATTCTGGGATCCACTGAAGAGAAACATAAACATTGTATGCGCAGACATTAGTGTATTGCAAACATTACATGTCGATCTGAAAAAATGACACACCCAACACGAAAACAAAGCCTCACCTTCTTCGAGACATTTTCATAGCTGGCTTTGCTAATGAGGGAGAATGCCAGTATAAAAACATCTGCCCCACGATAACTCAAGGGTCTTAACCTGTTATAGTCCTCCTGTCCTGTTCCATAGAGAAAACAAATTCAGACCCAGAAGAGATAACAAATTCAGACCCAGAAGAGAAAACCCATATAACACAAATTGCATAAAAATAAATCTAATAATAAATAATTACCAGCAGTATCCCACAATCCCAAGTTAACAGTGCTCCCATTGACAACCACATTTGCACTGAAATTGTCAAAAACAGTAGGCACATAATCCTATTCTCCACCAGAGTACAAAAATGATAAATTAGTACATTTCTCAATCCGGAGCTTATAAATAAACAGGGAAAAAAGACTACAATATCGTGGAATTGCAAAACACCAGTCTCCCAACATTATGCAGAATACATTACAATTCAATATAAACTCAGGAAAAAAAATGCAAAGAAAATCTCGATTGCAAATTACAGTTCAAGAGTTCCAAATCACAGAGTGGTGAATAAAGCAAGCTCATTTAATTAAAGGAACCTCCTTTTTCCCATAAGATTAAGGAAGGAAAAAAAATGTAACTGTCTGATCACCAAGAGAAACCTACCATATTCGCATTCCTTGACAACAGAGATATTAAAGATATGTCATTCTTTTGAAATTCGAACATATTCATAATTTTAAAAAAATTATATTGCAATTATTCAAAACAAAGACAAAAATAAATAAATATATATATATATATATTTTCTTTTTTTTGAAAACAAAGACAAGAATTTTGAAAAAAGAAATCGCTTTTCCGAGAAAGGAAATGAATTAATTGAGGCAAATGTTTTCCATTTCGGCTCAAGTTTTGCATAGAAAACCTCCAAAGCATATTCCATTGAAGAATTCAATACAGGAACAAGAGAATCTCAAACTTTCTCCTCAAGAACAGATTAGAAGAAAAAAAAAAACTAAGAGAGAGAGAGAGAGAAAGAGAAATTGACCGTGGGGAAGGTGTTGCTGGTGTAGGAGATAAGCAGACACGTCTTTCCCACAGCTCCATCGCCAACCGTAACGCACTTTATGAACCTCGAAGCGCTCATTTTCCTTCTTCTGAAAAATCTTTCCGAAAAAGAAACGAAAGCCTCAGATCTTCACCTGAGGGCTCGATCTTCTTCTTCTTCCGCCTCTTCCTCTCGTCCCTTTCAATCACGCCGCATCTGTGCGATCCACAACCAGAAACGCGAAAAATCCCAAACTCCGAACCCTAACCCTAGCTTCAATTGGAGAAAATGAGAGAGAAAAAGAGAATTTCGTGAAATTGAGACCCAACTGTTTGTTTCTTTGTTTTCTGTTTTTGGGGGAAATTTGGTTGGAGAATTTGGAATCAAAGAAAGAGGAAGAGGAGGAGAGAGAAACAAGAGAGAGAAAGAGAGATTGGCCGGGAAATAATGCCGTTGAAGCGTTCGTTGAGCCAACCAATTTTCGCCAACAAACCCCCCCGCACCCTCCTCCTAAAAAGGTTGTCGTTTTTCTTTTTCCAACCAATTTTCCTGGTTTTTAATTTTAATCTATATATTTTTTTTCTTATTTTAACTATTAGTCTCGTGAATGTTTTTATTACAATTCGAAATTTCTTTTCTAAGAAGTAAATCAGTCTTGGCTGTATTTAAATTCTTTTTACAGCTCTAACTTTTAGTTATTGAATTGATTATGAATATTTTAAAATTTAATGAAACATTACGATAGCACGTGAAAAATCAATTCGACTACTATTTTATTTATTTTTGCATTTTTTTAATAAAATTTCAATTTCAATTTACATAATAAGCACGTGACCAAAACTATTAAAGAGCAATCAAATACTACTTTATTTTAGCAGCAAAAAAAAAAAAAAATACTACTTTATCTGTTTTGTGTTTTTGGTTTTGGTTTTATTTTTATTTTGTATTTTTTAATGGGTTTGTGCATGCTTGTCCCAGATTATTGTTTTATATTTAAACATTAATCTACATTTTGGACTTTTTAAGGCTCTTTTAATTTTTAGTGGATCAATACAACAATAACAACAGGAAGCCTTAATCACAACTTAATTGAGATCGGCTATATAGATTTTATTTTTCTACGCAGTTCTGTTCGAAATTAGACTTCCTTAAAAAAATTGTAATGATGAAATTTATTTGGATTTATACTCATATAATTAACAAGATAGTTTTCTTGGAACGCCATCCTTCGGTAGAGTAATTTGGGTGTATTTGAATTATGGAGGAAAATTGTGGACTATACAATACCAAACAAGATAAAACCTATTTCTAAGCTAATTCAGACAAGGACATAATAGTTTATAATATAATGAGGTTAGGAGAAAAACACTAATCTATTATCTCAATGAGGAAGTAGTTGTTAACTAATAGCTAATCGATAAAAGACAAGGACATATAGTTATATACAATACCAAATAAAATAAAATCTATTTCTAAGCTAATTCAGACAAGGACATAAATAGTTTACCAAAAGGAAATTTATATTATAATGAGGTTATGAGAAAAACACAGATCTATTATCTCAATGAGGAAGTAGTTGTTAACTAATAGCTAATCCATAAAAGATATACAACATCCTATTCATGGTACTAAGCACTAAACCATCCTAATAATTAATTACTTTTTGATTAAGCTCTATCAACTTTTTTTTTTTTTTTTTTATAAATATTAAGCTCTTTTCAACTAATCATTATAAACCACATATAAGCTTAGTCTGCTTGCCTAATTTTGTAGTCCAAAGTAGAGATGGGAAAGTTGATTTTTTTAAGTTCTTTCAAAATAAAATGTTTTTTAAATTTCACCAACGATTTAAAATATTATGAGAATGATAGAGGTTGGTAGAACAATAGTAACAAAATCTTAATTTGGAGTTAGCCCAACTCATACTAAATCTCATCAAAGATTTCCTTTCTTAAAATATATATATTTGTGTATATATATATATATATATATATATATCAACCTTATAACCCGAGTTCTTTCCTTCTCTTCTGACCTCATTTCCCCGCAAAAATTAGTTATGGGTTTTATTCAGAATATCTATCATGCACAATACTATTTTTTTGGTCACGTGGAGAGAGAGAGAGAGAGAGAGAGACCCCACCATTTTCGAAATTCAGTTGGTCGGACTTAGTCAGTGTTCAACACTCCATTCCAGGCAGTTGTTGTGTCACCTTGAAATGAGAATGATGGAAGGTAGAACTAACTAGGTTGTAAGAATTGAGAAACAACAATCGAGGGACTCGTTAATTTTCCAAAAATAGAGCAAAAAACCAGAGAGAACCGAGAGATACATATTGAGAGAGAGAGAGAGAATAAGAATTCAGAATTAGAGGATGTTTAGTAGAAAGATTCGTTCCTTGATTCAAATCATGATTCGTAATTTGCTATAGTATTTTTTCTCATAAAAAATTCACGTAAATCGAAAATGGATCGAATCACATGATTTGAATCTTCCAACCAAACATCCTCTTAATAAGTTTTTTCTTATAGCGGAAAAAAAAAAAGAATTTCATGCATAGATTGATCGTGCCATAATTTATAGAATTACAACTTGGTAAAGGCTCCTGTCGATACATGAAAATAGGAAGTAAATAAAGAGAAAGGGCATATAAACTATATAAGCAAGAATTTAAAGTAGAAAATATTAGTGTAGAGACAGAGAGAGAGTACGGTTGTCTATATAAGGATTTATTGATCATGCCAGAGTAGAATTGCATCTTGGTAAAGGATATGAATGGCTAAACAAGGATTTATCGATCATGCCACAGCTTCTAGAATTACAACTTGGGTAAAGGCGCTTGCCTTTTTACCAACACAAATAAATATGGGAAAACCAAGAGAAAGACTTGAGGGTATGCAGAAATTTAAATTACAAAAATATTGGTACAGAACTTGCCACATAATTTAGAATTCGTCGCACCGTGTTTTCCAATCAGGACTTGCAAAATGAGCGGAGCGTTTCATCCAGGGCTTTTCTATCATAATCGCCCGTGAAAACACAGTTCCCTAGAGGGCCTTTCAGAAGGATGAGCCTTAGAAGTCCATCAGCTACCTTCTTGTCAACCTGCCATATCAAAAGAATATGAACACATCAAAGAGTTAAAACCCGAAAGGAGGGGAACTTTTTATAGCAATGGCAGACTGATTGGTCTCTTACCGCCATTACAGACTTGAACATCTCCACAGTCATAGTATCAGGAGGCGCAGTAGGTAAGTTTGCTTGTTCTAGAATGCTACGGACTCGATTTACAATTGAATCATCAATCCATCCAAGGCGGTAGGACATGTCAACAGCCATAACCTGAGGGTTGGCATCCAAGTTCCTTCAACATGGCTCTTTCATATAGTAAAGGAGAATATTTAGTTATGGAAAAGTGAAATATAAATTAAGTGATAACTACCGTGCCGGCTGCAACAGCCTCTCCATGAAGCCACTGCCCATAGCCAAACCCAGTTTCTATCGCCTACACAAGACATGCCACGTCATAAGAACAAAAGAGAAGACAACCACAAAACTGAATGAAAAAAATAAATAAATAACCAAAGGAAGAAAAATCGATTACTTGAATGTCTGGATTTAAAATGGCAGCTCTTTTTCATAAGTAAAATTCTAAACGTAAAAGGAATTCTCAAAATTAGCAGGTCGGGAAAAACAATCCAAATGATTATGGGCTTGTTTGGTTCAACAACTCAAACTGTGGAGATTTGAACCTTTTTGGTTATAACTGTAGAATCTGAACAGTGGTGATTCAAACTAAGATCCAAACTGTTGTTTGGATATGCAAATAAAATTGTAATTTGAATTGGGAATAAAATCCAAACTATGTTTGGATAAAGTGTTGAAAACTGTCATTAGAGTTTTGTAATCTTATAAAACCTCATTATAAATGACATTAAAAAATATGCAATATGGGTAGAGATTTGTTCCTCTCTCCATTATGAACAGATTAAAAAAAATCATCTCAATCGGAATTAAAATGAAGAAGTTATAACATTTTTAAGATTGAAATTGAAGAGAGAGAAAAGCTAGAATCTAAAATTATTGGACTGTTGACAACAATTCGAATTGTTAGAATTTAGGGGGAAAGTGAGTTTTAAAATCAACAATTTGAGTTGTCCTTGAACCATTGTTAATCGTTTGAATTGTCCTTGAATTTTCCTCTCCCAAACACCAATTTGAATCATGAACTAAGGTTTGAATCTTAAACAACAGTTTGAGTTGTCGAAACAAACAGGGGCTCGGATTGTTAGAATTTAGGAGGCGAGGTGAAATCTAATATCAACAATTTGAGTTGTCCTTGAACCATTGTTAATGGTTTGAATTGTCCTTGAATTTTCCTCTTCCAAACACCAGTTTGAATCCTGAACTAAGGTTTGAATTCTAAACAACAGTTTAAGTTGTTGAAACAAACAGGGGCTATATTCTATCCTTTTTCCTCTAGAGAAACAGAGTGTGATAAAGATTAGGTTTGTTTTTGTTAAACGAGTAAAAATATTCAAATTTTCAAAAATGCATTCCCTTTTGGACCTTTTACATTTTTTAACATTAAGTGCTAATTCTCCGAGGTACCTGATTTTTTTCCAGGAAACTCTTAGAGTGATAAATTGTAACTAAGGATACAAAATAGTCTTAGTAACCATCAACTCATATAAAGAACACAGACGAGATATTTAAAAGCAAAAAATTTAAAGAAATGGAAGGCATATATATAGTAACAAAATTTAACAGCATGATTCAAGACCTCACATGCAAAATACAACCCAAGTAAGGCAAGTTGAAAAGAGGAAAACCAACTGCTTACTCACATGGCCGAACGTATGACCCAGATTTAATGTTGCCCTCAATCCACTTTCCTTTTCATCCAAGGACACAACCTCAGCCTTGTTTTCACATGAGCGCTTAATTGCATAAGCTAATGCACTTGGATCCCTGCAATGGACCAGCGCAACATATACATGCATGAGATTCATCTAGTAAACATAGAAATTGGGAAATTTACAGAATAAGGTCACCACAGGTTATCTTCTTGAATTGTGATCAAAATAGAGTTCACTTTCAAATGTTCTAGATAAGATGAAGAATCTTCAACACGCCACTATAAACTTCAACGGGCACTTCGTACCTAGCCATCAATGCCTTCATGTTCTTCTCCTGCCACTCAAAAAACTCTGCATCCCTAATCAACCCATACTTAACGACCTCTGCAAGACCTGATGCCAACTCCCTGTCCGGCAATGTGTTTAATGTGCCTGTGTCTATAAGTACACATTGAGGTTGGTAAAACGCACCAATCAAGTTCTTCCCAAGCGGGTGGTTTATCCCAGTTTTTCCCCCAACAGAAGAATCAACCTATGCAACAGATCAAGAAGAGTTCATGGAGGCACAAAAAATTATGAACAAAAGTGCATGATCCGGAGAAGCAAAAACAACGACAGATTAATTATATATATATATATATATATATGTATATGTATACATATTAAAGAAAAGAAGCGATAAGAAATTTTGAGCAGTGAAAACCTGTGCCATCACAGTTGTTGGAATCTGAATGAAATTAACACCCCGAAGGAAAGCAGCAGCAGCAAAGCCACACATATCACCAATGACACCACCTCCAAGAGCAACAAAAGTACACCTTCGGTCCAATCGTGACTCAATAGCTTTGTCAAATACTTTCATAAGAGTTTCCTATTGATCCAAGTAAACAATTATTCATGATACAAAAAACATGGCACCACATCAAAAACCAAATTTTAGAGCCAAACTTATAGAACTCCTACCATGTTCTTGTACTTTTCACCATCCGGTAAAATCACACTATCAACCAAAACATTCGGGTTCCCTTTTGTTAAAGCCTCAACTACTTTATCCAAGTACAATGGCGCCACGGTGGTGTTGGTAACAATAAGTACCCTCTTCCCATGAACATGCCTACAAATTGGAAAAGCTTAACTATAAGAGCCAAGCAATAGACATTTAGCCATTGAATGGAAGCCTAGATATACTAAGAATACAAAAGGCAACAGTATCCCATTCTTGGAGCTTTCTTCTATAACAAGTAAAAAATGCAAAAAATATCCAGCACCAACCAACAGAACTGCATCAAGCTTGCTTTTTGAATGTAAAGTTAAGACTAAGAAAGTATTCCTTAAGCAAATTACAAGCACAATCCAAATAAAAATTTAGCTCTACTTATATAACAAGTAAAAAGAAAAAACTTAGGCTCCGTTTGGTACGAGGGTTCAAACCAGGGTGATTCTAGTTTTGATTTTAAAACCGGAACCATAATTCATGATTTTGGGTCAAAATCGTAGTTCTGGAACCAGAACCAAAATCAGGGATTTGAACCACCCAAAATCAAGAGAGGAGTGGTTTTAGAACCAAGGATGATTATGGTTTAAAACATCACATCAGGGTTCAAATCTTGAACCAGAACTATCCAAACTAAAAACTGATTTTATTGAGTCAAACCAGAACCACTTTTTACTTTTTATAAACAAACACTAGTTTGAACCAGAACTATAATTCTGGTTCTAGAACTCTCGTACCAAGCGTCTCCTTAGCAACAACAAAAACAATTGCATCAAGCTTAATTTTAGCATTAAACTTCTATCAAGACAGTCTTTTTAAGTGTCCTCCTTAAGCAAATTAAACGCACAATTAAACCAAATGAAACTTTACAAAAGATTGAAACTTCGAACGATGCCAAATGAAATTTTCGCAAATGAAGATCCCAAAAGATTATGAACGACGCCACAACATTGCAACATAGAATCAAAATCCCAAAAGATTGAAACTTTGCACTCACAAGCCACAATTAACAAGTTCCAAAGTTCTTCCTCGGCTTAGAATACGAAGAAAGCGAAAGTAATCAATGGCCTAAACTCACAGGTCAATTGTCCTTCTTTTCTTAGTAATAGAAAAGCATTAGTTAGCACTAACCAAAATAATCAATTTCAAGCCCAATTTAACCAAACGAAAAATTCCAACTTTTTTTCTTAGCACCAACCAAAATAAATAATTTGAAGCACAATTTAAATCAAAATTCCGAACGAAACCGTTATATCATTTCGCCGAATGAAAATCCTCAAATATCAAAACTTCGAAGAGAGAGACCTCTGAAGAAGCTCGGGCTGGTCGAGAAGTCCGGATCCGATGTAAATCGGATAGCTCCGATCGCCCAAATCGACCTCGACAATGGTGGGAGTAGGAGCTCCCGATACACCGGTTTCGGTATCCATGACCTGCGCCGCCGAGCTCGCGCATATTCTGGACCTAGTAGCAACCCTAGCACGGGCGACGGCGGCGGTCAAACCCGAGTTCGCCGTCCAAGTCAACTCAACATAACTCGGGGAGACGGAGGAAGAAGAGCGGAGAGAGACGGCGGCGGGGGGTTGGAGACGGTCGGAGGAGTTAGATAGAGAGAGTTTGGGGGAGAGAGAGGCGTAGAGAGGGTGGTTAATGGCGGTGGAGGAGGCCATTAACGACGTCGTTTTTGGAGGCTCTGTCTTTTGTGTCTGAATTTGGCTGTCAAGTGGAAATGGAGGTTGGTGAGGGAATTTAACATTTTTCGGGGTCGTTGGAGAAGAAGAGGAGTAGGTAGGTGACGGGTTCCCTTTTTCTTTCTTTTGGTTGGGAGATACGTGGATTCTGTATTGTGGACGAGTGTCTTTCATTTTTTATTTTTTTTTATTTTTATAAATTACACGTTTTTCCGTAACCATAAGCATTCTCACAAAATACCCCTTAACCTTTAATTTTAGTTTCTTTTTTTTTTCCCTCTAAATTTCAACAACTCTTACAAATTTCTCAATCTGTTAAATTCTTACTTCTTTATTATTATTGACCTCCATTGATGAACCTCTACGATTCTTTAGGTCAAATGAATTAATAAAAAGTTAGAGTAGTAAAAAAAATGAGGAGGAACTTACATAGAATTAGTAATTATGTATTAAAAATAGTTCAACGACATTCGTTATTTATATGATACGTGTTATTTCTCTATTAATCTTAACACAATGATTTTTTTTTTAATTTTTGTATTTTATGTGACATTTTCTGCCAAAAATTTAGTTGGGGGAGAAAATTTGCAATGGTCTTTGAAGTTCGGGGAAAAAAGTTAAAATTAAAGTTCGAGTGGCATTTTGTGATAAGGTTGATAGTTTGAGAGAAAATGTGTGATTTGTCTTTTTTGGACCTTCTCCGATAGGTCGATCTATCGGTAGAGGTAATTTCTAACTGTTGAATCTGATCAAAATCACATCATATTGAAAAATATGTAGCATAAATAGTTTCCGATACAAATCTAACGGTTAATAAATAGAGAAGTGCTAAAAGTTCATTTTTTGAGTCATATTTGAAAAAAAAATTATATTAAAAAAATAACAACCATTGAAATACGTCTCAAATTCAACATGAACAATTTTGAAAAATGATCATTTAACGCTATTTATAATTTTATAAATGTCTCACAACCATTGATTTTAAGTTAATTTACCTTTTAAAATTATTAATTTTAGGTCACTACAATTTTAAGGGTTAAATTTTAGCTCGATATTGATAGTTTGGGAGCGTATTTATGAAATTATATTGGTTCATACAATTTTAAACAACTTACATAACTGATAACGTATAAGAATGTGTTTCGGCGTAATATCTCACCATTTTTATTCTTTTTTATTTTCTAAGTGCATTGAGGTGCATAAAAATGTGATGTACTCTGAGGTTATGTTTGGTAGCTTATATTATATTATATTGTGTTGTATTATCATAATACAATATGGTGTTTGGTGTCATGACGTATTGTATAAGGGTTAAAAATATAAAATTTTAGGGTCAAATGAAAATTTTTAAAAGTTTTGGGGTCAAAATATAATTTTTCAAAAGTTTAGGGTCAAAATGAAATTTTATCAAAAATTTGGGGTCAAAATATAATTTTACAAAAGTTAAACAGTCAAAAATGTAATTTTGTAAAGCTTTGGGATCAAAATGTAATTTTGTAATAGTTTGAGGTCAAAATGTAAGTTTTAATAAATATAAAATTTGCATTGTACCTTCCAAATTTTTCTATAATTATAGACTCTAGCATAACCCTATGTGAACCCTACTCTAATCTCTAGTCGTGTCCAACCTCAATATGGATCATTGATCCATTATAAAATAATACAATACGCTAAAAATCAGTTATATTCAATAATATGACATAGACCGTATTAATTTACCATCTATATTAGAGTCCGTTTGTTTCATGGATTAGAACCATGTGATTAGAACCATTTTCGATTTATGTGTATTTTTTATGAGAGAAAATACTGTAGCGAACCACGAATCATGATTCGAATCAGGGAATGAATCCCTCTACCAAACATCACCTTAGTTTATACAATACGATGATCACACCAAACATTATATTATTGTATTATTATACAATACGGTGTTCTAATATGGTCAAACAAATGTGCTCTACAATACATGGTAACTTTTTAAACAGTAACGTATGCATTAAAAAAAACTAGTATGTATTGTGGCTAAGGGTGGCAATTCGTGTTAGTAGGTCGTGTTCGTGTCAACCTGTTTATTAATCGTGTCAGAAAATATCAACCCAAACACGACATGTTTATTAAACGTGTCAAAAATGTCAACCCAAACACAACCCATTTATTAATCGTGTTAATCATGTCAACTTGTATAACCCATTTAAATTAGTATATTGAATAAATAACTAATATAATAATGAGTTATTTAACATAGTAAAAACATGTTTAACATGTTTATTGGTCAATTTATTTTTTTCTTTAAGAAAAATAAATGAATTTTACCTACAAATATTAAAATTCACATTATTTGTATTTAATATGTCAGATAATCTTTCATGTTATATTACATATCATTAGATTATAGATGACACATATAATTAATCGTGTTAATTCGTGTCACTTTGTGTTAGGAGGTCAATCATAACCCAACCCATTTATTTATTGTGTTAATCATGTCAACCCGATTATGACTCAAACTCATTTATAATAAACTTAAACGCGCTAACTTCATATGAATTTTGAGATGTATCATCATGTCGCTATCAGAATTATCAACCCTAATTGTAACTATGTGCCGTTTTATGATATATATATATATGACAACAAAATTTGAATGACAAACGAGGTTTCACTTTTCTGAAAATAAACGACGGAAATAAATCCTTACAGAATAGAAATCTAACCGTCGCTGCAGGTACACAGAATCAAATATGTACCAGCTACACACAAGAATCTTACTTTCATTAGCTTCTCTCGTACTACTCCAAAATAAAAAATAAAAAATAATTTTTTTTTTCGTTTCCCCGCCAAACCCCACTATATATAAAAGCTAACCTCTGCAAATCCCCAAAATCCGCCATTTTTGTTCCTTCATTTTCTCTCCTCAAGTTCACTTGAAATCCACCGTATAGGGATTCCGAAGAGCTCCGAAGAAGCATTGATCCACTGTTAGGGTTCTGCACAAATCTATAGCCATGTCGGAGACCTAGGAAATCGGGATTTTTCCAGTCGGCGACGGCGATGGGGAAGAGGAACACGACGGTCGTTATTTCGTCGTCGGAGGACGAAGGCGATTGCCGCTCGTCTAGTCGTCAGCGGAGGAGGTCGAAATTGCGCTCGACGGTTCCTCGCGCGAATCCGAGACGCTCGAAGAAAGCTCGTGTTTCGGGTTCTAGGTCTAGCCTGGGTAAAGAATCCAGTGATTGGGAAGGGGTAATTTGAGCTTCTTATTTCTTTCTCTTCATTTCTGTTAATTTATGATTTGAAGCTTGCGATTAAATCAGTTGTAATTTCGGGAACTGTGAATATCGGATGAATTTGATTTGGAAGGTAATTTTTTAGGTTCTTGAAAATGCAAATTTAAGCAAAAATGGTCGAAATTTATTTGGATTTGTTTAATTTTTGCGCTTTTGAACTGAATATCCTATCTAAAATCCTTAATTTATTACTTCCTCTCACCGTTTCTCTGCACTGAAGGCTTGTTTTAGATTAGAATTTAGTGTGTTTAACTGTACCTACTGGTACTGCTTTGCTTAATTTGGTGATGAAGAATCTAATGTTTGACTTATGTAATGCAGATTAGATTGTTCTGTGAAGATTTTGATGAAAAGTTTACTGGGTTTAAGGTATCTGATGGTATGCTATTTCTTTTTTTAACCCCCAATAATTTGCGACATTTAATCTTTCTCCCCTAAATCTACACACTTTGGTTGAATACTTGGTTGCTATTTCCTTCAAGGAGTCTTTTCGTTTTTTTTCTTTATTACTACTGTTACTATTATTATTATTATTATTATTATTATTATTATTTTAATATGGTATCTTGAATATCTTTAGTTGCTTGTTGCTGAATCAAAATGGAAACTTGACTCAGGTGCTGAAGGAAGTAACAAAGAAGAGTTATGGGTTGATAAATACAAACCTTCTTCTCTCGAAGAGCTTGCAGTTCAGAAAAAGAAGGTGAACTTAAATTGGCTTAGTCTTTCAAATAGGAGTACCTGTGTGTTGGCCAGTTAATTTTTGTCATTGTAATGGCAGGTTGAAGAAGTTAAAGTATGGTTTGAAGAAAGGTTGGGAACTTCAAAGGTATTCGCGTTGTAAGAAAAGCTTACTTCAAAACGTGATTTTTCAGTCTTCATTTGAACGGTTGGAGAGTCTTAATTCAGTTTGTCGTTCTTGTCTTTTATGTAAAAGACTTTCTTAAGTTATTCGTTTCGCGTTAACTTGCATTTATGTCATAACAAATTATTTTTCTTCTTAACAGGATAAATTAAGCAGTCACGTCCTTGTCATCACTGGGCAAGCTGGAGTTGGAAAATCTGTATGTGGGCTTCTTGTTGTTTTTTATGTGCTAATGCTCTTAGCCTGTTTATTTCAATTCTTCAATATTCACTGCATTTAATTAAGCATTGTTCCAAGTTATTACTCTGTACATGAGTTACTACATGGTATGTCATTGCCTAATTTTACTGCATGTGATACTTCATTGTTTACTGCATTTAAGCATTGCCTAGTATAACTACATGCTACTTAAAACAGATTTTGAAGTTTTATTAGTGATGAACTTTGCTTCTTGAGTAAAAATATGAAATATGAAAATTTATTGACATTTAAGTGAATCTCGTTGTCAGGTTTAGTTACCATACTAAACCGGAGCTTATTATGCTGTATTGACAGAACACTCAATCCCATTTCTTCTCATCTTATAGGCAACTATTCAGGTGATAGCATCTCATGTTGGAGCTAGATTGTGTGAATGGAACACTCCTACGCCAATAGTTTGGAAAGAGCATCTATACAACTCCGGTGCAGGTATTTGAAGCATATTACTCGAGTGACAACTTTGCAAGTGATGCAAGATTGAAAAATAAAAAGAAAGAAAGAAAAATTAATCATCATAATCGTGATCTTGATATTTATGGATATTGTGGTCTATTTCCAGGGCTGCACTACACGTCAAAATTGGACGAGTTTGAAAATTTTGTGGAGAGAATAAGGAAGTATGGATTGATACCATCAACTGACCATAAGGATTCAAAAGAATCAGCGATACTCTTAATTGATGATCTTCCTCTCACAAATGGTACAGTTGCTTTTGGAAGGCTTAGAAACTGTTTGCATCTTCTCGTGCGCTCAATTCAGATACCTACTGCAATATTAGTCACCAATTATGGCGAAGCGGATTCAGCAGACCACACAGCAAAATGCTTGGAAAAACTCCAGTTGGCTCTTGAAAATGCTGGAGCTTGTAAGGTTACTTTCTTGAATAGTTTTATTTCAGTTTTTTTTTAATGAAAAATAAATGATTCGTTAATTGAGTGTATGTGAACTATTTTCGAAACTTTCAGGTTGCTTTCAATCCTATTACTGTTAATTCTATTAAGAAGGTACTTTCTAGAATATCTAGACAAGAGCAGCATACCGTGTCTGATGAGAAGATTAATCTCATAGCAAAAGCCAGTGGAGGTGACATCAGAAATGCAATAACCTCATTACAGTTCTTCTGTCTGAAACCAAATCTGAGGCGTCCACTTTCTTCTTCCAATCATCATCCTAGACACTTAAAAGCAAAACCCGATGACGATGATTTACTGAATACTGGATTCCCTCTAGAATTTGGTAGAGATGAAACACTTTCTCTATTTCACGCTCTAGGGAAGTTTCTGCACAACAAAAGAGAGACTGAAAATGCTGTGGAATTGGGTATGTTAAAAGTAATATGTGGTTCCTTTCGAGTGGCCTTATATTGCTGTTAGAAAGTGCAACGTAAGTTATTCAACCATGTCATCTTCTTTTCTTGTAGTTGGCGATGAATTTTTTGTACAGGAGCGATTTGCTAGATTACCACTAAAAATGGATGCTCCAGAAAAGGTCCTCTCTGAAGCTCACGGGCAAGCTAGGCCTATCGCGGACTTTCTTAACGAAAATGGTGATTCCTTACCTACAAGTTGTTACTTCTATCTTCCTTTTTTATATTTAAAAAAAAAAAATTACAAGCATCACCATTGCTTTTGCCTCTTACATGCACATGAGCACAATGGATGTATTTACACACATGAACCGCAAACGGTCTCTGCTTGTGGTAGTTTTGGACTTTGTTGTATCCAATAACGTTGTTTCCAATTGTTGCGTGGAAATTTTTATGCAGTTCTGGATTTCCTAAATGAGGAGGCAATTGATGATGCGTGGGCTGTGGCATCATATTTAAGTGACGCGGACTTGCTTCTCGCTACCTTTCGTGGAATGCTAGTTAGACATAATGAGGCAGAGAATATTCTGCAATCAGCTGCGGCTTCAGTTGCTGTCCGTGGTGTCCTATTTGGAAATTCTCACCCAGTGTCTTCCAGGTACTCTTTTGCGCGCTCGATCAATCCTTTCCTTACTAAAAATTAGCTTACCTTATCGAGTTCAATGACCCACTCTTCCGAGGCTGCAGATGGCATGCTATTCGCCGGCCAAAGCTCTGGCAAGTTGAGCAATCATCATTGTCCAATAAGGTATAGGAAGTTTAAAGTAGATCATTCACATTAAGAGCCACCCTCGCCATGTTAAGACCTTTCATTATTGTTTTAGTTGCAACAACTTTGCCTATGTCGTTTCTTCTTTTGTCGTTGCAGAAAGAGATGGTAAAGCGGAGATATGATGATTATAATGGGATGACTTCATCTGATTTTTCTGTTATTGCCACCGAGTACACACCTCTATTCAAATGGCTTTGGTCCGGGACACCGGGGTTGTTGCCGGGGAACGGAAAAGAAGACCAGAGAATTGACATGATGAGTTTGGATGACCAAGAAACTATGATTTCAGAGGATGAAATAGAAGATTGGTAAAATTATTGTGTTACAACACAAGTTTGTTGTAGATGGGCCTTGCTTGCTCCTGTAAATGTTTGCTCTAAAATAGTGACTCACTTTTTTCTCGGAAATCTGATATATAAAGCGTATATTCCATATACCCATGTGTGTGTACACATGATATAAACTCATCATCTTTTATCATTGCCTCACGTCATAGGAAGTGTGTCGTTTGCACGTCGTTCCTTGCCTCACGTCACAAGAAGTTTGTCGTTTTCATGTCGTGTCTCCTTTAATGTCGTCATTTCTACCAACGAAATAAGTTACCATGGGTCGTTTTTGGATAAATTTATACTTTTAGGGGACACTTTCTTATCCAACAAAAGAAAAAAAAATTGTACTTCTCAATATTCCTCTGAACTTTAGGACTTATAAAATGTGTCTTAAACAGTGTCTACCTCTATCGATAAGATAACAGTTTCTAATTATTAAATATGGTCAAAATCATAAACAATTTATTATATAAATTTAACAGTTATAAAATATAACTCTATCAGTAGTTAGTTTTTTCCAACCCTACCAAAAACTCTCAAATTTTAAACATTACAATCATCCTTCATAGACTTTCGGTCAATTTGTTATTCAAATATTTACCGTTAATCGTGGTGTGAGGTAGATTGTATAATTACCTACTTATATTATTCTTATGAGAAAATTAGTCTTAAATTTCCCACAAAAGTGATGTTTTTTAATTCCAACTCACTATATCGCTTGTCAAAATTTTTACTTTTTATTTTCTTTAAAAAAAGAAGACATTTCAATTGTTGGTAGATACAATTGCACATCCCTAAAAGAAAGGTTTTAGGCTTTTAGCACTAATAGTCATGGACTTAAGTCCCCAACTTAATTTTTGAATTCTACCAAAAAAGGAACTTTTAATTTTAGAAGATTTTTTCTTTATTTTTTATTTTTTGACAATATATTTTTTTTTTGTCGTCATTCATAGCTCAGGAGTAATGGCATGGCGTTTCTACAGTTGGGAAAAAAAAAATGGAATCAATCTGATTTGCAGGAAAGCAACGTGTCGTTTATTAACAATCAAAACCTCATGTCGTTTGTTGATCCAAAATGGCGCCTCGCTAATCCATATTAAACGACACGTCGTTGCCACATAATTGAAACGGTACGTCGTTTCAGTCACATAACGACGTATTATTAATTTGTGTCATTAGACGGCATGTCGTTTTCAAACACTAATGTCTGTCCTGGATCCACAAAAGAGGAAAGTGAAACCGGAGGGCGTAGAAGCTGGAGGCACTCCATTAATCTTTGAAGTCAAGAGTTTTTATAGTGTTTTTCCAAAATGTAGTTTTTTCCATAATTCAGTCAACAACGAAAAAGGTTTTGTGAATCTCTCTCTCTCTCTCTCTCTCTACTTTTTAGGGCTTATAGATTGTGTTTCAATTTCTCGAACATGTTCTATTCTGTTCTACAGCAATACTTTGAAACTTAGCATGATTGTTCCTCGGAAATTTTAATTCATGTCAAAAAAAAAAAAAAAGGAAAGAAGAAAGGCATGCACACAATTCCAATTCCGAATTTAGAATTTTGTTTTGCGCGTATTTCTCTTCTAATTCTATTCTTATTTGTGTATATCTTTTTTGTGTGCATTTTATCTACTGTTGATTGATGAACTTCATGCAGAATTCTTGTCTCTCGTGAATGGGTTTTTTATAGATTTTTCAATAGCAAACTAGTACCTGTACTTGTCTTTGTGAAAAGATCAATCATGTAGACGGAGATAAAAAAGACTGTTATAAGCAGTCTGTCTCGCGGGTTTAAGCAGAAAGTTCGAATAGAAGTTCGAATTTTTTTTTTTTTAGAGAAAACAATGTAGCAAAAGGATTTGAACTGTTGTTAAAATTTTTCGAGACAAATGGCACCTGGCTTTTGCTTTTGGCCCCGTTATGCGAAATAAGCTCTTCACAAGAATTAAATTTTTTTTTTCAGTTTTTTTGAATCTATGTTAATGAACTCAAGCAATTTTCAATAGTCTATGTTGATTTCCCTTAACTATTTATAGTTATCTGCAATTTCAACCTATTCTAGCTTTCCATTCTTCAAATGGGCATTCAATTTTATGTTCTACGTACTTAACATACAAAATTTGCTGCTTTTTGTACTCATTTGTATGTAAAGCATTTCTTTTTACCTTGGGATCTTGTCTAGAAGTGAATGGCAAGCCGAATTACTCGGTCCCGGGGACAACAAGCTCAGCAGCAAGATCAACAGAGTAGAGCTAGATGGACAACTTACCTTACTAAAATACTTGCGAGCTTGATGGTCGAACAGGTTTACAGAGGGAATAGGAAAAACAACTCTTTTGGTAAGAAAGCATGGAAGAGCATGTGTGATGAATTCTATAGGAGAACAGGCCTGCAATGGGATAAGGAGCAACTGAAGAACCGATATGCGGTCTTGAGGAGGCAGTGTGTTATGGTCAAGTCGCTTCTCGATCGAGATGACTTCAGTTTCGATGAAACCACTGGGACTATTAGAGCCAAAGATGAAGCTTGGGCTGCTTACATCAGGGTATATTTAATTTCTTCAATGTACTGATGTCGTGTAAATCGAAAATTCTACACTTGCCTGATGTGGAGGTCTCTTCTTCTCTGAGCAGGAACACCCCGATGCCGATGCTTTGAAAACCAGTGGCTGCCCAATTTACAAAGAGCTGTGCACTATATTCTCCGAATCAGCAACTAATGGAAGACATGAGCAATCAGGTGAATTTGTGGAAGGGAATCCTTCCTCGAGTATGCCCCAAGAATCGTCATCCGAATCGGAAGAAATTGATGATCTAGACCAACAAGACACAGTTCAGCCTGCCACGCCTAGTACGACAGGTGTGCGCAAAAAAGGGCGAAGGGGAATTGATGGTGCTATTGCTGATGCGATTTCGGAGATGGCGGCTGCGTCAAGGATGAAGACATCGGCAATTCAGCGATGGAATGCAAGATATAGCATAAGCAAATGCATCCAAGAATTGGATGCGATGCAAGGTGTTGATGAGCAACTATACTTTGCCGCTGTCGACCTTTTCAACAAGGCGATTGCAAGGGAGACGTTTTTGTCCCTAAAACCTGACAAGCGCTTGACTTGGTTGCGCGGCAAGTGTGTGGCGTATCCCATGCCTTGAGTTGACAAAGAACAACCTGACATACTTGTTCAGTCCTCTCTGCTGTTTTTTGATTTTGTCTTTTTGGAAGGTTGCGGAATTAATGTTTTGACAATGTATATATCCCATGGGACAGTTTTACTATTTTGTTCAACTTCTAGGTGGTTGAATGGTCAGGTCCAGATTGTTGACATAGTACGTTTTGAATTTGTCATAGCTCCCCTAGAAAAAAATTATCCCATTGAAGTAAAGATTCACAATGTACATTTTTTAGTGTTTTCAAAAAATAATTCCTGTTAGTTATTTTGCACCAGAAGTACCAATCTAGATGCGTTACCAACAGCTTACCAAACTCTTCAGGAGATGAAAGTCTTTAATTTGTAAAAAAGATTACCGCAATCTTAAACCAACAAATTGTACATGTTTGCATGTTGTACCACCATATGGGAAAAAGAAAAACAAACGGGAGCAAAATTAAGGACATTAAATATTCTTCTATCACAAAATAAAACAATGTATAACAGTGACTCAAAAGTCCTACCACTATTGCATTCCATTTTTTTTTTCCAACCACTTTGTGCTAATCCAACCGCACCACCAGCCAGGAGTTGCCAATGCTGCTAAGTCAACTTCCATCAGCAAGAGACCATACCAAAATAGGCATTTCATCATTGTTTATTTGAACAAAAATTGTGTCAAAATGATCACAAAGGAGGTATATCTTCCAACCATAAGTTGATTTGATCTCCATGAGCAAACTCAGGCTACCGAAAACGACGAAGATTCTATGTACAAGAAACAGATTGATTGTTCCTCCTAAAACCCGAGTACTTCTCTCCTAAGTCATTAACCTTTTCACATCAGCCTCCTGATCAGCACTCTTGGTGTGGTTATATACCGACTCGAATGCATGCATGCACACACTCGAAAATCCTACCATCCCCTCAAACACATGAGGCAATCCCATCTGCAGGTTGTTTAATGTCATGGCCCTCGTCACGCTCACTGACTTTTCGTGCTTCGTCTTCTCCTCCTCCGCCTTGGCCTTCAACATCTCCACTTTTGCTCGTTTCTCTGCAACTGGATTCCTTCCAGTAATGCCAGAGGACTCAGACATGGAATACGGACCATATTTGCTCTCCAACGATCTAAGCTCCAACATCTTCTTCTCGAGATCTTTAAACACGGACTCTGATTTCTTCTTTTGTTTTTGCTCCTCGGCTTGTTGGACAACAATGGCATGGATTACCGTTAAGAAGCTCTTGATTCCTTCAGATGCTACTTTGTCAGGAATTCGATCAACCGCAAGGTGCCATTCCTCGCAGAGTGAGTAGATTTTCGATTCTTGACTAGTTCTTGCCAGCGGGTTTCTGTTAAACTGGAAGAGGCTAAGTCGGAGCCAGCCCGTAAGAGACTGGATATAGTCTTGTTGAGCTTTAACCATGTTGCAAAAGGACAGATGCCATTGCTGGACTTCCAGCTCGAGCTGAAGAGTCGTTTGCCTATGAATCTCAGAAGTGGGTTCGGTGGACGGGATGACATTGAGGTACTTGAGCTGCTGAACAATATGCTTTTGGACCTGGTGGCACTCATACATGCTTCTCCACATGCACATCAATCTGCATCTCAAGAAAAATATCCATGAGGTTGTTTCTTTATCTGTGTGATTAACAAAACAACTCTAATCAAGATCAAATTCAGAAAAATCTTTGCTGGCGTGCACAAAAATATCACACCGGTGCTATGCAATTTTGGACCATCATATCACATTAAAATCATATGAAAAAAAAAAACATAACAAAAAATATGTGCATTTAACGGAACATGATTGATATATGACAGTCTAAAATTCTGCAATACCGATAGGGTTCTTTTGTTTTTTGGTACCCTATCAAAGAATTCTCCGTAATATGCGAAAGAAACAATGAAAGAAAACAAAAAGAATAAATGAACAAGGGAAAAGGATTAAGTTAGCCTATTACTTGTTTTCTTGACCTTACACATTATTCTTTATTGGTCAAACTATATTTTTATTTTTTAGGAGATTTTTTGGTACGCCAGATAGACTAAGTTTTTCTAACCGTTAGATCTGCATACTTTTTAATTTTTACGTGATTTGATGTAAATCTGACAACATAAATCATAACCTATCGATACATTAACCTACCGAAAAAAATCCTATTTTTTTGGTAAGAAAATATTTGTCAAGATAATTTGATCTTAGAATGATAAAATCAAGGTACAAACATAGAAAGAAGATTGTCCCTTGGAAGGACACTCAAAAACAAAAGCAAAACAGAAAGGGATATGGTATTGGTTCCAAGAGTGAGAAATCCACTTTGACTCTGTTGACTGTTGAGACCGTACATCTTAACAGAGAAAGCATACAGACAGGAGACATCAAACAAACCAAGAAAAAAGCAGTCAAAAGCAAATTTCTTCACCGTACCAACATATGCATATCTTCCTACTCAGAATAAAAAAAGTTGACTTTCCACTGTAGAAAACCAGATTTCCTTTTTTTTTTCTCCCATTTACTTGGAAAATTTTTCTAGTGGTATGAATCTCATAATAAAAATGTGGGTTTTCATTTTTTTTTTTTTATAATACCCTATCACACCCTGATGTTATGGCACCTTAAAAAGGTATGTTGTCACTTGTCAACCACAGCCCAAAGTAAGTAGCGTAAAACAACTACCCCTCTGAAAAGAAAAAGAAAAATCACTCAAAAAAAGAAAAAAAAGAAAAGGGAAAAATAGGAGGGTCTAAGACCGCTTGGTCTAGTGGCACCGGATGGTTTAGGAGCAGTTTGCAAGTTCGATTCCTCGTTGCATAAAGAAATATATATATATATATATTTTGAAAATATCGGTAGTTTTTATTTTTTAACTCTTAAATTTATATTAAAATTTATTTATTCTGTATATTTTTTTAATTTAATGTGATTTTGAGTAAATTTATCAGTTAAAAAAACAAAAAATACCAGTGTTTTAAAAAATAAAAAAAACACTAGAGAATCTCGCAAAAAAAAAAAAAAAAAAACAAAACAAAACAAAAGAAAGATGAAGGGAATACAAAAGAGGGAATAGGATTATAAAGAAAAACCATCCTCAAAAACGACAAAGTTCTCCACCCAAGGAGTTTCTTTCATATTCGTTCCACTAAAATGTTAACCTTTCCACAAGGAGCCAAAATATGCAGTTGTTTCTTCCTCAAGTAGTTCCACTTCCACATCAAAAAAAGTGGTCCACAATTATCAGCACCAAAAATTGCGTGGAGGGTAATAACGCTAGGCTCTCAGATTTGAAAGTGATGTAAGAGATTCAAGTGAGAATAAGGAAAGGTGCACGTGACTATCTATGGTCATTCATTCAAGTGTAGGGACATATTTCGCATACCTCATTTTACAAGTAAATAGTCATGTGTGGTGGATTGGTAAGGCTGCTCGTCTTCTTAATAAGGTTTTAAGGTGAGTTAAGGGATGCTTATTTCATGTATCCGTATTCTGAATCATGGTTCATGATTCTTTATAGTGTTTTTTTCTCACAAAAAATTTAAATTTCAAAAATCAAAATCATGAATCATGATTCTCAACAAAATGAGCGAGATATATGGACAATTCACTTTACCTTATGGAATTATACGAGTACGCCACACTCTATCCTTATAATCATTTTATTAAAAAAAATTAAAAAAAAAAAAACACTAACCCTTTGACAAGCTCAAGTAGTTGTGGATAGAGCTCAGTCTCCCTCAATTTGATGATTTCAGCAGAAGTTGTCTCAATGGCTTGGGAAGCAACCATCATTTCTGACTCCAACTTTTCCACTTCTTTCTTAGCCTTCTCAGTCTTCATGTAATCCGCTCTCTTCATCTCTAGCTTCTTCAAAGTTGCCACTTTCTTTTCATGCTCTATCTTTACGGTCTCAGCAGTCTAAAAAAAATGGAAAAAAAAAAAAAATCCATATTGCTTAATCTCCATGGACTAAAAATCTTATTCTTGGGCCCGGGAAAATAAAAAAAAATAAAAAAGAGGAAGCCCCACAAGAGAATGATAACATAAGACCTTACCTTGACCTCCTCGAATAGTTTCTTTTCCCAAGCATAAAGCCTCTCAACGGTCGAACAATGACTAGTTCCATTGACAACTTTCCCAACATCACCACCACAAGTTTTCCCAAATCCACTCATTTTGGGACTTGAACCTGAAGAACCCCATGTCCATGAAGATGGACTCAAACCCCATCCATAGCTATACACCTTACCTGAACCCCCACAAAAAAAAAAAAAAAAAAAAAAAAAAAAAAAAAAATTTAAACAAAAAAAAAAAAAAAAAAAAAAAAAAAAAAAACAAATGTTAATAATAAGGGAAAAAAAACCCATAATAGTAAAATAACCAAAAAACAACAATTAAGAGAAAAAAAATAAGAGAAAAAAATGTTTTCTTCACTCTCCTTCATCCTTGGCCACAAAAGATACAATACAAATAAAAAAAAATTAGTATTTTCTTGACAACCAAAAATTGGGATTTTAACCAAAAATTGTTATAAGAGAAAAATATCTTCTTCACTTCCACCTTTTCCCTTACCCACAAATGACATTATTGTTATTAAAATAAAAAAATAAATAAAATAAATAAAAAAAAAAACAACTTGTATTTTTTTGACAGCCAAAATAGGAATTTTAACCAAAAATTAACAATGAGAGAAAAATATCTACTTCACTACCATTTCATTTCCTCCTTATCCAAACATGTCATTGTTACTAAAAAAAACCATGTATTTCATGAACCAAAAAACATTGACAAATAATAATAAAAAGAAGATGGTAAAAAATTAAGGTTTTTTTTTTTTTTTACCTCCTTTCGTAGTATGATGAGAAGCAGAAGAAAAACCAGAAGATGGAACTTCCAAGAGCAAAGAGAGCTGAGAACCAGCCTCAGCAGCCTTAAGCAAGTACTCATCAAGCTCCTTCATTATCTCCACAACATCCTTCGTACTATTCCCACGCACCACCACCGCCAGCTCACTCGACCCCGCCACCGAATGCGGCGGCGACGGCGGCGCGTGTCCTCCACTAGCCACATTCACCGGCGCGTTCGCGTTGTTGCCGCCTCCGCCGCCGAAATCCTCATCCGCCCAGTCGTCCTCCGTGGCCGACCTGGACGTGGCGGCGGTGAACGGGTCCCAGAAGTCCCACGGCGACGACGCCGGCGGCGGCGGCGGAGGAGGAGGAGGATGGAGGGGGGAGGCTGTGATGGAGGTCGTCCATGTGTCGGTGGTGGTGGTGGCAGCGGGGCTCATCGGCGGCGGAGGAGGAGGGAGGAGGGAGGCTGTGATGGAGGTCGTCCATGTGTCTGTGGTGGCGGTGGCAGCGGGGCTCATCGGCGGCGGCGGAGGAGGAGGAGGAGAGAGGTGGTGGACACGTGGCGGGTGGTGGTTGGTTAAATGGTGGTGGGACTCGGCATTGGCTAAGTGGAGGAGGGCGGCGCCGGTGGAGCGTAGGGAGCGGAGGTACATGGTGTGAGAAGCCGAAACGGCATGCCGTGCCTTCACCAACTGCTTCATGTACCTTCTTCTTGATTTACATCTCGAAACCGTTTCTTCTCTCTCCACTCTTGAGTAACAACACCCCATTTTTTTTTTCTTTTTGTTTTTGAAAATCAGAAGAAGGAAGAAGATTTTGATTTTTTTTTTGGTTTTTTGGTTTTGGTTTTGGGTTAGTCAAGTGATGAAGCTTGTTTGTGTTTAAAGTGGATCCACTACTAAGAGCTAGTGTAGAACTAGTTCACATTTTCATGCAAACTCTCATCACTCTGTAGTTTTTACCACCCACAAAAACAAAAAAAACAAAACATTTTTGAAAAAGAAGAAAAAAAAAAAAAAAACCCCACCAACCAAAACTTTAGTTTTTGAGGAAGTGGAACAAAGATCTGAGCTTTACATTGATCTATGTCTCAAGGGTCTTTCTTTTTTTCTCTCTCTAGTTTTGTGAAGATGAAAGTTTGGGACTTTAGGGGGGATTTCTAGTTAGGAGAGGATGTGGTGGTGGTGGAGGAGGAGGAACAAAGGACAGGCTTTGAGAAAGTGCAGTGACAAGAGGGGCTTTGGGCAGAGAGCCGGTATTTCGGTATTTGTTTGTTTATTATTATTTATTATTTATTTCAAATTCGTTGGCACAATATACAAATACTCCTAATACTATTATTATTTGGGAACGTATGTAAATCTTGACCAATTAACCGACTTAAATGCTGCTCCTAACCCAAAAAATGCGTGGAATTAAGATATTTTTCACTTTTTTTTGGGTGTATTTAGTTAGTAAATTCGTGTAATACTTCGAATCATGATTTGTAATTTAATATAGTATTTTTTTTCATAAAAAATATATATAAATTAAGAATAATTTTAAATCATAATTTTGAATTCATGAATCAAACGTTCACTTAATTTAAAAAAAAAAAAATTAAACTGAGAACTCAATTTAAATGGGGTGTGGCATTACCCAAAGATTAAATTTATGTCTTGCACATAATCAAATAGTCATTTTTGTCAATTTATAATATAGTTATAAGTTTGGACCAGATTAAACAAACTATCTCAATAGCCTAAACTTGTGTAGCCAGTTCTCGACTTAACCTGTAAAAGACTCATAACATATTGGGTCGAGGTTTCAAGCCCAAACATCTATTTAATCTAGTCCATATTGGCCCGAGCCGATTTTGTTCAAAGTCATCAGGTCGGACGATCCAAATTTGCAACTCTAATACATGATCTAAATAACTCTTAAAATAAATTATCACTTTATTACAAAAATACCTAACTGGTGATTTTAAGAGATGGAAAAACTATTCGTAATAAGGTGAGTAATATTTTATATAAAATTTTGAACTTGACACCTATTGCAAGTTTTAAAATAACTCCAATTATACTAGTCATTTTATGTGTTTAGTTAAAATGATTAATGATTTAGCTTTTTTTTTTTTTTTTTTTTTTCAATTTCATCCACTCTAACCATGCTATGTTAGAGAATGTTTTCTACATTAGCTAAATATAACTAGTATGGAGAAGCTAGCTATTTCATTGTTTGTATTGTTTTATTATTTAAACTGTAGTAAATGTAAAGATTTTTTTATAAATTCAATAAAATTATTTGTATTTTAAATTCAATAAATATTAAAATAATCTATATTTAATTAAAATAGAGAGTGTGTTTAGAGTAACTCACCAAGAAGTTAGCTAAAATAATTAGTTAGAATTTAGCTAAAATTTAGAGAATTCTCTTGAAGTGAAGATACTAATTACTCACTACTGCGTAGTTTTCTTAATTTTCTCATTTTTAAGGAGAATTTTATAATAAGTTATGAGAAAAATCTTCTAACAATATATATAATTTGGCGATTGATCTTTTATTTCTATTGATAGGCAATTTTCTTAAACTGTTACATACTTCTCCTATTATTAAAGAGAAAGTATTGATTTTTAAGGGATAACTTATCTCGGAAAATAGTGAGGATCTATGAAAAGGAGTTGACGGAAATATGTTACTTCTGGGCATTCATACTTAAAAATAAATAAAAATAAAAAATCCTAGGACAGCATTACTCTTTTTTAAAAAAATTATAAAATCAAATTTACACTTATGTTCTCATGTAATTTTATTTACTCTCGTCTTGATTTGCTTATTTAAATTAAGAATTTAAATTAAAAAATACATTAAAAAAACAATATTATAAAAAAAATTCGAATTAATAAAATTAACATGGTTTTGGCATTCAAATTTGTTTCTTCTTTGGTCTTTCTATGGTAAATGCTTCTTTTAGGGAACCGTGATGGTGGAATCTGAACGTCACGGAGCATTTTAGGACGACACATAACATAGAATATGCTATCGGACGATATTACCCTTCTCTTATGTTCAACATTCTAACATTTTGTCCTTCTCCAAGAAAAAAAATAAAAAATAAAAATAAAACATTGTACACTTTGTACTAGAATTCTAATCATAACCGAGTGATATCATGCACTAGTACATTTTTTTCCACAAATTTTGATAAGTACAAGACTTGTTATTTCTTTTCCTCAAAAAAAAAAAAGTTATTTTCTTGATTATTGAGTTCATCAAAACGTTATTATTATTATTTTTTTCAATCACTTCACTAAAATAAAAATTGTTGCACGGCGCATGCATTACGAGTTACATTTTGGTGATCCTAACTAAGCTGAGAGACTCATAGTGCGTTTAGTTAATAGATTCGTGTTATGATTCGAATTATAATTTGTGATTCGTTATAGTATTTTTTTTATAAAAAATATATATAAATTAAAAATAATTTTAAATCATAATACTGAATTCATTAAAATTAAACGTCAATTAAAAGTCAACATATAGGTAATGAAACTAGTAGATCTTGTGTTCTACTTCATTATTATAACACTTTTAGATAAAAAAAAATTCATGGTCTTTTTTTGTTTTTTTATTTTTTATTTTTTGTAAGAATAAGATTCAATAGTACAATATAGTATACAATTCTTCTCTTAGGTGGCTGAAGATATTGTGTCAGCCTGGCAATGAAGGATTGAGGATTGGGGTGCTCTAACCCACGTGTCTAGCATTTTAGAGTAGTACCTTTTCCTTTAAAGCCTTTAGGGTTAATCTTTTAGAGTATAACTTAGGAGTAGTTTTTGAGTTGAATTTGAATTATAATTTGAGTTAAAATTATAACTTAAATAAAGTTGAGTAAAATTGAATAAAGTTAAAACTTAAAAGAACATAAACTTAAATAAAGTTAAAATTTGAGTTATCTTTTTTTGAGTTTTTTGAACAAAAAAACATGCCCTTTGTAATTTTTTGTTTTTTAAAATGATGAATCTTACCCACTATTACTTCGACATCACATGCTCATTTTAAAAGTAATTAATTGTATCTAATTAACTATATTAGATTCTTTAAGTGTTGCATATTTTATTAAGGGAAAATTTACGGTAGAAAATGTTATTTTTCTCTCCTTATAAAAATTGTTATTTTTAATTATTAGATTAATTTTTTAAATGTTAATTTTATACATATTCGCATTAAAAATTTAAAATATAAAATATAAAACCAATCTTAATACATACTAAAAAGTTATTTAGTTGTTAGATTTATGTCATGAATTATAATTCATAATTTATTACAATATTTTTTTTCATAAAAAATATATAAATTAAAAATAATTTTAAATTATAATTTTAAATCCATAAAGTGAGAAATACAAATACTACCGCTAGAGTCAAATTCTTCACTACCGGTACCGATTGAGCAAAATTCTTCACTATAAATGCACCAATAGGTAGCCTTGCTATAGATCCTTTTGGGTCGAATGTCCCAGTATCAAACCAGTTGGGCCCACGTCAACGTCAACATATCTCAGAAGCTTTCAGATCAGAAATCGGGCCCATCAGAGAACCGTGGGCCCAATAAATCATCATTATATCCGTTCAACGGATGGCACGAAGCCCAAGAAAGATAAGGAATGCCACTAAACCACGCGCCATAAGGGCATCTCAATTCACGCTTCATTCACAGACCCCAATACAATTCACTTTATCATTCCCTCAAAGAAAGTGTTCTCCACGCGCTACATACGCGTAGCTTCAAACACCCGGAATCCCAAGAATGATTAAATGAATTTTAAATAATTATGCAGTTATCATTTTCTGGGCAATAAGAAAAGCCCGAAAGCTTTTTCTTTCTTATCATATCATCGTCTACCCACAGAAAGGAAGGAAGAAAGAAAGACCGATATTTTCCCATCTGAATATAAAACCGCTGATTTGCTCCGCGACTTCATTTGGTTTCGGTTTCTCTTTTCTCTGTGAAATTCTAAGGTGCTCTAATGGCGGAACCAGTGGTGGTAGATGCTGCGTACCTCAAGGAGATAGAGAAAGCTCGTCGAGACCTTCGCGCTTTAATCTCCAGCAAGAACTGTGCTCCTATCATGCTTCGCTTGGCGTAAGTTCTTGTTTTCTCTGTTTTCCTTTTTCTCTCTCTAACATTTTCTCAGCTACCAAACATAATCTGAGTTTCGGAAGACTTTCTCTTGGTATGTTTAGTTACGGATTAGTGTTTTGAACTTAAGCGTAGATTCTTTGCCGGAAAAGAGAAAATAGATTAGACTAATTCTTTTTTTATGAGAGAGAATTGGATTTAAATGAATTCTTTTGAGGTGATTATGCTAGAAATTAATTGGTCTTAACACAAATAAACAGGATCAAAACACCTAATTTAGCCACAAATCAATCTTCATGGATTTTGAAGCATGTGATAGGAACAGTGGTTCTAGGATTACCTCCACCACTTGGCAGCAGAAAAATTGTCTTTCATGGTCGCTGAAAAACGTCGATGGCCGGCCGGAAGTGAGTGGAGAACCTGCAAACAAGAAGAAGAGTTGCGAGAGGTGTTCTTGAGCTCCTTCCTATCTCCCCCTCTCCCCAAAACCGGCACCCACACGTCCTCCACACACACACTAAGACAACCACCTCCAAAATATCTAATAAGTTGTCTTCCACCAATAGGTTGTGTGGGCCTTATTGGGCTTTAAACAATATTTAATAGAGGGTATTTGGCTTAACGGGCTGACTAAATATTTAGAGATAAAAGAAATTTATAGACCTCTAACAAGTTAATAAAACGAGCGTCTATCATATTATAAATCAATATTTAACATATATATATAATTAAATTCTCAATAATAATGTGGTCCATAAGATACTTTAATTTATAATAGAGTAAATTACTATGATTATGGAAGTCCATATAAAATATTCCAACAGATTATTGCTAATTATTGAGATTTAGCAGTGGAGATTGTGTAATTTTCTAGCCAAAGTGATGATTAGTGCGATTTTACTAATTAAGTTCTCGTTTTTCCTTTTTTTTTTTTTTTTTTTTTTTTTTTTTTTTTCCATTATTGGTTCCGTTATGGTTGTTGAAAGAACTCGTAAAGAAGAGTCTGATGTGTGTTCTCTTACTTTGTTCAATTCGATATTATCCTTTTTTCTTAACATTTCTTGGTGACCAAACAGTCTCAGCTGTATATTTTAGACTTTCTGTTACTGTTCCATTGAGTTTTGGCCAATTTGCAGTTTGGTTTGATATGCTAGATATGACAATCGAATTTTAGGAGTAAGTTCTTCAGCTCAAGAAAAAAAATAAAGGAACTTAGACGCACATGCACACGCATACTCACATCGATATTGAGTAGAGGTGACCATTATTGGTTCCGTTATGGTTGTTGAAAGAACTCGTAAAGAAGAGTCTGATGTGTGTTCTCTTACTTTGTTCAATTCGATATTATCCTTTTTTCTTAACATTTCTTGGTGACCAAACAGTCTCAGCTGTATATTTTAGACTTTCTGTTACTGTTCCATTGAGTTTTGGCCAATTTGCAGTTTGGTTTGATATGCTAGATATGACAATCGAATTTTAGGAGTAAGTTCTTCAGCTCAAGAAAAAAAATAAAGGAACTTAGACGCACATGCACACGCATACTCACATCGATATTGAGTAGAGGTGATATTTAAAAATGAGTGAAAATTAGTAAGAGAGATTGTAATTTCAAGCCAAAGTGATTATTAGTGAAATTTAATATTAAGTTGTTGTATTTCCTATTTCTTCTTAATTATTGGTTTCAATTTTTTTTGACTAAAAGAACGCCCCGAAAACTGAAGATTCTAATGTAGGATTCTGTATTTTCCTTTTCTCTTAACAATTTCTAGGTGAGCAAACAGAGTCTTGGCTATTCTATTTATTACTTTTCGGAGTTGATGATTACTAATTAGTGAAAAAATAATTCAACTGTAGAGATTGTAATTAAATTTTTGCAGGTGGCATGATGCTGGAACTTATGATGTTAATACGAAGACTGGAGGCCCTAATGGCTCGATTAGGAATGAGCATGAGTTGAGCCATGGCGCAAATAATGGCTTGAAGATTGCAATTAATTTTTGTGGTGAGATTTCCTTTTTTGATAATATGTTCAATTAAGCAAATTCAACCTTATAATACCAAGTCAATATCTTTTTATTGATTAGATAACGTTAAATCCTTTAAGGTTGATTCAAGTTTCTTTCTTTTGCCATATAACTGTGAGTATTTGAATAAAGAATGTGACAAAATTGATTGCGGAGAAAAATGTAAGTCATCTTCTAACTGGGGTCTCATGAGTGAACAGAAATTTGTGAAGTTCATGATTGACATGCTCACCCCATTTGGTTGAAACTTTTGCGCCAAAGGGTTGTCATTAATCCACCCATTTCTCTTCTAACTTTTAATAATATTTTCAGAGGAAGTGAAGGCCAAACATCCAAAGATTACGTATGCTGATCTCTACCAGGTAATTATTGCTTGTTTTAGTAGCTATCTTTCTGTCTTTGGCTTTAGAATTTGTATTTTTAAGTGAAAAGTATCATGTTGGCAGACATTTAAAAGGATAGATAGTGAAGAATATGTTGCAAATTGTTTAAACCCCCTACCCCAAATTGCCAAAGAAGAGCTTGTCTATATTCTATAATCATGAAGATGCATATCTCATTTGGGAAACTTTTTTTTTTTTTTTTTTAAATACTTTGGCTGCTGGAGCGACTTCCTTGCTCGTAAGACATGCACATACAAATTAGGAACACTTTCACTCATTTGTACGAGCGAGTTCGGTTTAACAATCCCATAAGCGCCTTGGCGGGTTTGGTTATGTGAAAAATGAAGTTGTGGGATTAACTTGTGTTCTGTTATATTTGGTTTAGCTTGCTGGAGTTGTTGCAGTTGAGGTCACTGGAGGCCCTACTATTGACTTTGTTCCCGGAAGAAAGGTACGTTAAGGAAGTTTCTTAGTTCCATAATTGCCCTTTAACATTGGATTTAATTGAACGTGAAGTACCTTTTAGTAAGTTTTTGCTTCTTGGATTAGGATTCGCTGGAGTCTCCTGAAGAAGGACGCCTTCCGGATGCTAAACAAGGTATATAATTAACCATTTAATGTGAATTTTTATTTGTTCCAACAAGCCTATTCTTTGATTCATATTTCGAGTCTTCTTTGGGATTTTATGAATTAGTAAACATAACTAAAAGTTAACTACTTGTATCCTTTTGAGATTATAATGAGCAAGTAATGTTGATATACAATGATTGTGTTTAGAACACTCTAGCACCTTCAAGTAGATCTGATTGCAAACTTGTCCGAGTAATCAATTCCTTGTAACTATTTAGTAAACACAAGTCTTAACAAATTAATATATATATTTTTTCTTTTCCAATTTTCCTGCAGGCGTTCCCCACCTAAAAGACATCTTTTATCGCATGGGTCTATCTGACAAGGAAATTGTGGCCCTTTCTGGAGGCCACACATTGGTAAACTCTCAAAAGCAATTCTTCTGTTCTGAAATGTGCTTTCTTGAAGCTAAACATGCACATAACCCATCCCTTAAAATCGTTCTTTAGGGCAAGGCGCATGCAGATCGATCAGGCTTTGACGGTCCTTGGACAAGAGAGCCCTTGAAGTTCGACAATTCGTACTTTGTGTAAGAAACTCAATAAAACTTGCCAACTTCTGATCTTAGTTTGTCTTTTCTTATTTACAATAAACACTGCAGACAAGTTGACAAGCATATATGTTAATATTCGCAATCTGTAGGGAGCTACTGAAAGGAGAATCAGAGGGACTGTTGAAGCTTCCCACAGACAATGCATTACTGGAGGATTCCGCATTCCGTAGCTACGTTGAGCTATACGCCAAGGTGATTTACTTTTGCAGATTTCTCTCGGAAGGAATTGAAGTTGCAAACACATCGTTGATCTCTTTGTGATCGTTTATATTAGAGTTTTGAAGGTTTAAATTGGCTTGTCCCTAATGATATATGGTAGGATGAGGATGCATTCTTCAAAGATTACGCAGAATCGCACAAAAAACTATCGGAGCTAGGCTTCACTCCACCCTCCGCTGGCCTCAAGGAAGCTGTAAGAAGCAGCGCAATATTGGCGCAAAGTGCTGTTGGAGTTGCTGTGGCTGCAGCTGTGGGGATCCTGAGTTACTTCTATGAAGTTCATAGGAAAGCCAAGTGATCATCAACCGGACTCGTCAAGTATTATTAGAAACATTCAGTAAAAGCAAAAAAAAAAAAGAAAAAAAGAAAAAGAAAAAAACATGTTTCATGGACCAATCAAATAAGTCCTTTTCTTTATTCTTGTTGTATTCTTCATTGGACTTGTACCACAAGAAGTTACTTAACATGACACGTAAAAAAGATGCATTTGTAGCTTTCGTTCTGAATTTGGAATAAAACGACGAGGTCAGTGAACATACAAAATGCAAATTCTCAATATAACTCTTGCTAGCTATTTTGGTCCATTTATATGTTCTAAAATGAGCTTCACATATCTAGGGGAGATTATTGGTTAAGGTTAGATAATAATTTTTTATTTTATTTTGTTTTATTTTTGCTTGTTCACTGCAATATTGAGATCTTTTTAGTATGCATCATCAATAAGGTATATTATTTGCTTTGAAACAATACGCTAATGTTGAAGGGTTTATATATTTTGGTGTTCAAGGAGGGAAGAAATCAGAAAAAAGTAAGCAAAGAAAGAAGAGTACTGTTCTTCCTTCCTTTCCTCCTCCAAAAGCAAATAACTAATCCTTTCTTCTTTCCCTTCATTATCCTTAATTAATCTTTCACTTGTTCCAAAGTTCATTCTTTTTGAAAAAGCCCCAACTCATTTTTTTTACAGAAAACCCTAGCAGTCCTTGATGTGGCTCTCTCCTCGGGCTGGAGTACCGATATTCGGCCCTAGAGATGCATTTGGTGGGAAGTCGCTCGTGTGGTCAAGGGGATGGGTTTTTGGTGAGGCTGTAGTGGGTGGTTTTTGGAGTGGTGGAGCTTCCACGCCGTTTTGAATTGGGTCACCTTGCCAAGTCAGTGGTGGAAGCATAGAATGGGCGTGGAGGGGGAATGGTGTCGGGGGTGCCTCTGCAATCACTGATCGGTGTGAGATCTTTGAACGCCTTGGGAGGTCTTGGCCCCCGTAATGAGGTGCTTCTTTGGGAGGTGGGTATGTTGAGAGCGGTGATTGTTGCTACTCGTGTTTGGCCTCACGCCCAATTCGTGAATATTTAAATCCGAAATATATTAAAGATTTAACATATGATAACAATTTAAATGTGAATAAAGAATGCAATTACAAGGGTTTGAACTCAGGACATTCCGCTCTAATACATGTTAGTTTACTAATTTATTCTAAAAGCTTCAACTATTAAGAAGTAGACTAACAATAATTTTATACTTTAACAGCCCCCGTAATGAGGTGCTTCTTTGGGAGGTGGGTATGTTAGGAAGTGGACTAAAATATTATTTCTCATTTTTAATTATTTGATTAGCTCCGTGGATACTGAACTTTCCATAGGAAGAAACACAATAAGTAAAGAGGACAAGAAAACACAAAATGAAAAGATCCCAAGAAAATTAAATATGAACAAATTTATATGAGCAACAACCGAGTAATATCAATTATAAAAACGGCAAAAAAATAAAAAAAACGACGTAAGTATTAGAGATGCAACGATCCAAAAGGAGGAGAATTGAAGGAACGAGGATAAGGATCATGAAATGAGATAATTGTTGAAACTTTTGATTTTCTATTTGTAAGTGGGCGTGAAAAAAATTCGTTAATTAATCATATTTATCTTAATTTCAACCGTAGAAATTTCCAAATTTCAAAATTTAAACTGCTGATTGCGATTGAAATGCTAAACTTTATATTTGATAAGATAATAAAAAGAGAATAAACAATTTTGTGCATATTTGCAAAGGTTATCCTAAAATTCCTCACGCATATTGAATATTTGATGGGAAAAAAAAAACTAAAACAAGACTGAATATATATATTTGAAAAAGGATAGGACTCTAGTTTATATGCTCTGATATGTGTCATCGTTGGAAACAATTTCTAATTCAACTATAATTAGCATTATTAATCCTAATTAGCTTGATAAACAAGTAATTGGCACCTCTATATAAACTCCCATAAACCAAAAATTTCTCATTCTCATATGTCACTCTTTTCTTCGTCTTCTTCAATTTTCCGGGTGAGATTTTTTCCTTCATTATGTTAGTCACTTCCTTTATTATATTTTTTTTAGGGTACTTCCTTTAAAGAATAGTTTCTTTTCCTTTTTTCTTTTTTTCTGCCTTTACAACCTAGAACTTCTTTTAGGAGTTTAGTTTGGGAAAAAATATGATTCTGTTGATGCTTGTGTGCTTTTATGATAATCTTGCAAATTTGTTTTGCATCTTTTTTAATAAACTAATCGTCTGTTTACAATTAGTATACTAATGAAATTAAAGAAATATCCATAAAACAGTTGAGAATGAAAAAAGTTCTATTAATTAGATTTAAGAATACGGTCCTATGTGGTAATATAGTGTTTTTTGTATGCAACAATAACTTTTAAAATAATGTGACATATCTAGTCAGAGATAAATACACTTCTTATTTTAACTCGTTTCCAAAAGTAAATATAATTTTATATTACATGTCAATCTATACATGATATATGTGTGGAATTAGTTTTTGGATTAATTTTTTTTATTGTTATGATCCGTAAGTGTTCATGTTAGCCAAATACAATTATCCTGCCAATTTTTCCTCTCAAAGAAGTCTCTATAACAACAGTTCGATGTGTATTTGCTGACAAGCACGACAATCTAAAAATTATGTGTTTAATATTCTTTATTCCACTTCGAACATGGAATCAATCAACACAATAGTTTTTAGGTTGTCGTCCTTCGTCATCTAATAACCACGGACTTCACATAATCACCACATCTACAAAAGTACCAAAACCTAGCAAGTGCTGTACTACAGTTTGCTTCTAGAGGTACGCATATATATATATATATATATATTGTTTGGTGATATATCTATGTATTTATTGAATTTTACTAATGCCCCCTTAAACAAAGTTCTATTAGTGTCTCTTTTTTCTTGAAAACTAAGAAACAATATAGTGTTATTTTATGCGGTGATTATATATAGTTCTTTATAGGGTTTCTTATACGATATAGCATCACATTCTTATTGACTTATTGTTCAACACATAATATGTGTAAAGATCGTTTTCACTTTCTCCTTTAAAGAAACAAAGAATTACCGAGATTTTGTTCTATTCTGATTACCTCTAACACGCAATTACTATAATCAATCAGATCTAAAAAATAAGCAAAAAAAGAAGACTGTTCTCCTCCTTTCCTCCTCCAAAAAGCAAATAACTAATCCTTTTCTTCTTTCCCTTCATTATCCTTAATTAATTTTTAACTTGTTTCAAAATTCATTCTTCTTGTGCGTGGGTGTGTATATATGTATATATATAGACCTAAACCAACGAAAACCTTATTCCATTGTTCTAATAGTATTATTGAGGAGCACCTATATTGATCGCGATAGGATTAAAACCCCACTATTCTCATTAGGATAAATATCATTTAATCATCATTGAGTGAGAAAACAAAAGGGCACCATCATAATAATCTCAAGGAAAAGGTGTAGTCTTGAATTTGGTCTCATATAATTAATTATAATATTTAAGGGTTGTATATTTTGGTGTTGAAGGAGGGAAGAAAGGAAAAAAAAAAAAAAAAGAATAAGCAAAGAAGACTTTTCTTACCTAATTCCTTTCCTCTTCGAAGAGCAAATAACAAGTTCTTTTCTTCTTTAGGCTCCCAAAACCGTCCCTTGATGATATCCTAAATCTTTCACTTGTTCCAAAATACATTCTTCTTGTGCATGTGTGTATCTATATATATATATATATATATATATATATATATATATAGAAAAGCCTTAGTCCAATATTGTTCTCATTGTGTAATTATTGGTTGAGAAAAACGACAATAATATCAAGAAAAAAGTAAAGTCTTGAAGGTGCTCCCATGGCGACACCGGTAGTGGACGCAGAATATGTGAAGGAAATTGAGAAAACTCGCAGGGATCTTCGGGCACTTATCTCTGGCAAGAATTGTGCGCCTATCATGCTTCGTTTGGCGTAAATAATCTTTTCTTTTCTCTTCCTTTTCTTTCTTATTATATGATTTCATAATGTTTCTTTTTGTTCTAAACATGTACACGTTTCAAAGTAAAGGACATCACTTTTTTGTTTCATTCCATCCATCTTTCTATTATAGTTTGTGGTCATTTACGATTATATTTCAATATGTAACTTGTTAATTTTGAAATGAAAATTTCTTTTGGAAAAAGAAATGATATCATCGACGTGAATTTCATGGTTCAAATGTCTTGTCGTTTATCATTATAGACAAACGACTTATCCCTTTTATCATGGACTAATGTCTAAACCACGTAGAATAGCAATTAGCACATTGCTAGAAATAAACTACGTGTCCTTTTGAGCATATGAAATAAATGACATGTTGCCTACATCCAATTGAAACGACATATCCTAAGATCAACTAATAAAGCGATATGTCGTCTTCTCCACACCAAAACAAACTTGTTAAAACGACACGTCGTTTGATGGTCTAGTAAAATATAAACATGTCGTTTCTGAAACCAGGTCTACGTTGAAGATGCTAACTTTTGTTGTTTTTCTAAATTACATATTTATTTGGTTTACTATATTTATTTACAAGTATATACACACACATATATATATATATATATATATTTGTTTTCATCTAATCATACATTGTACATATATGTGTTGTGGCAGGTGGCATGATGCTGGAACGTACGATGCTAAAACAAAGACTGGAGGTCCAAATGGCTCTATCAGGAACCGAAAAGAGTTGAGCCATAGCGCAAACAACGGTTTGCAGATCGCTGTTGATCTTTGTGGTGAGCTCTTACATTTGTGTGTGGATATATATATATATATGTATATATGTAACATGCTAGTTTCTACTATATTTTAATGTGACATACCAGCTGTAATCCACTGATTGCATGCAAATACTATATCCAAGCCGGTTGATGATGACAAATCATGAAGCTTGTTTCTCAAACAATATCACACACACATGTATATATACACACACACACACATATATATATATATATGTGTGTGTGTGTGTGTGTGTGCGCGCGCGCGCGCGTGTATAGAATAGAATATAGGGCTTTTTCCTTCGGGTGTCCTTATATATTCATAAGCAAGTCATCAATCGTAGAATGTGTTAGGAAATTTGATGCACGGATACTTGAAACGCGTATGAGATAAGCTTTCTTTAAAGCGTTATTTGCCCCCTCTCAATTGAGATTTGCTTCAGATTTTAACAGCAAACTGCTTTCAGGATATGACAAGTCTTTAGAGAATTTACGGTAAGCAAAGAGCTGAAAATTTAGAGAGGAAATAAGAATGAAATAGTGTCTCGAGAGAGAAGATGTTACGAATATTGAATGGAAGTGGTTTATTCGTAAATTCTGATATTTTTTTACAAATTTTAAAAACACCCTTATTTCTCTTTCAGAAATTTTCTCTCGATTGAGAGTTGCTTCGAATTTCAACAGCAAACCGCTTTCAGAATATGAAAAGCCTTTCGAGAATTTACAGTAAACAAAGAGCTGAAAATTTATAGAGGAAATAAGAATGAAATAGTGTCTGAGAGAAAGATGATGTTACGAATATTGAATGTAGGTGGTTTATTCGTAAATTCTGATCTTTTTTTACAAATTTTAAAAACACCCTTATTTCTCTTTCAAAAATTTTAAAATAAAATAAAAAATATTTTATATTTTATTTAAGTAATATTTTTTCGCCAAGTGCACCTCTACAACCTCATTACACATGCCACGTGTGTGAGCCAAAACAATGAGTCTCTTTGCACTTTTATAGCTTATTAAGAGATGTGGTCCTTTATAAGATACTCAAAAGCCTTATGCTTTTTTATATGTGAGATTGTGAAATGCGACATTCACTTACTTTATACTTAAACAACTCTAACAGAATGTTCCGCGGTGGTAGATTCTCAAAAATGAGTTTAACATTTGTTTATGTGTTTGACTATCCAGAGAAAGTGAAGGCCAAACATCCTAAAATTACATACGCAGATCTTTACCAGGTAAATAAATAGTCTAGTCTCAAAAATTCCTTTTTTTTTGTATAAGCAAAGGCCATGGTCATAGCAAAGAACCGATTTTAAAATGTAACAAGTTGAAATTGAGATGCAATAAGTGGTTATTATATAGTACAAATATGAAAAGACTTTTTTATTTATTTATAAAAACAAAGGCTATGGTAATTCCTAAAAGCTGATTCTACACTGTAACATGTAAAAGTTGAGACTTAACAAGTTATAATTATATAGAGGGGCGTTTTTTAGTGTTTCTTTGTTTTTTTTTAAAATATAGTGCTTCTTACTTATCAGTTATTAAATTTGTATTTATTCTAATCATCAAATTAAATTAAAAAAATAATATAAATTTGATAATTAATAAACAAAGAATACTGATATTCTTATAAAAAAAGGAAATACTAAAAAAATTCTTCCATAACAAAAGTGAAAAGATATCTTTTTTTTTTGTTTTTAATTTTTTTTTAAGTCCTAGAGGTTGTACTTTTCAGTTAGCTGGAGTTGTTGCAGTAGAGGTAACTGGAGGTCCATCAATAGATTTTGTTCCTGGTAGAAAGGTAATTTTACACAATATAATTACTTAGTTAATGACTTATTAATTAACTTTACTCGTTACAAATTTTTCTCTGTCTCCTCCTAATTAGGATTCTAAACAATCTCCGGAAGAAGGACGCCTTCCAGATGCCAAACAAGGTATAGTTTTATTATTTTATAAGGTACAAAATTCCGAGTAAAATTTTTTATACACGAACATTCTAGTGTCTTTTATAAGAAAAAACACAATTTATTTATTTCTTTTCATTTTTTATTGACATACTCTTTACGAAGGATGTATATATAAGAACAAGATAAATTGTTTTCACATATAAAAAACTAGAACTCGATGTAAAATAATATTACTAGGCAACAGTAGGCAATTCAAACAAAACAAAATAAAAATAAACTCAAATATGAAAAACATTTCTTTAATTTGTGATTACTCATATGAAAAATGAGAGATTTTGTCGATACGAAAATAAAATAATTTATAAATATAAGGGAGAGTGGATTATGTGTACAAGTTTTTGAATTTTAGGCAAAAACAAACCTTATAACTAATAATGATTAATTTATGGTAAGAAGTAACTATTCATAATTAGAGTATTTACTATTATTGAAAATTGGATTTTTTAAACATTTTTTATTTTTAAAAACACAAACGACATAGTTATTGCTATTCTAATAAATTCATTGTAATGCTCAAAAAGTTACAGCTGCTTTTGAAAATGAATACGATTTAATGTAAATGATTATTAAAACAGAAGTTAAATGTTAATGTGAGAAATTAGTAACGAGTACAATAATTAGGGGGCCTTCTTTGAATATGAGGCCTTAAGCCATTGCCTAAATAGCCTTGAAGTGGAGCCGGCTCTGCAAGTGGTATTAAGAATTAATAAAATTAATCTGATAACCGTTTGTTTCATACATTTAAACTACTGTTAAAATCTGTTAAAATCTTTTTACTAAAGTATTTTTTTTTTCATAAAATTTAAATTTATATTAAAACTTTTCTATTCAAACCAACTGAACAGGACAATCATTCTAACTTCAATAGTTGTTAATTAATTAACCTTTTTTTTTTTTTGTTGCATAATATTCAGGTGCATCACATTTAAGAGAGATATTCTATCGCATGGGTCTATCTGACAAGGACATTGTGGTGCTTTCTGGTGGTCACACTTTGGTAACTAATTAGTTTCTCTTGAGATCCATAGTTCAAGCTTTATTATATTTATATTAGTACTATTTTTCAAGAATGTTTGTTTTTATTAGTCATATAGTTTATCTCTTGTTGTTGGTTATGTATAGGGAAGTGCTCATAAGGAAAGATCAGGCTTTGATGGCCCATGGACAAAAGACCCTTTGAAGTTCGACAACTCATACTTTGTGTAAGACATATATGTATAATATATATACACACACATGTATGAGTACTCTACTTGGTGTACTATGGTATAAATCTCAAGGTTCTGGTTGGCCGTCCCACTAATTGAATCAGTTTTTTAACTGTTAGATTTGGTCAAAATCAAATGAGATTGAAAAAGTATGCAAAACAAACAGTTTCTGATGCCGATCTAACGGTTAAAAAAAATGAAATTATCAGTAATTTCATTTTTCTAATCCTACGGGAGAAACTCCCTAATAACATAATGTCTGTTCTTTTTGTTTTTTAGTTGAGTAACATAATGTATGTCCGTTTGGCATATATTTTATGATTAGACCTTGAGATTTATGGTATTATGCATAGAACATAAATAATCATCATATATATATATATGAATGAATTTTCAATGGTTACGTTTTCTATTGACGGTTACTACCAAATATAGAATACCTTATGACTAAACATATTAATTGTGATTAGGGAACTTTTGAAAGGGGACACAGAAGGACTATTGAAACTTCCCACTGACAAGGTTTTAGTTGGGGATCTTAAGTTCCGTCCCTATGTTGAACGTTATGCAAAGGTAAAATTAAATAGAGTAATGTTATAGGGATTTCAAGTTATTCATCAAAACTTTTTATGTACTAAATAAATGAATTTCATGAATAAAGACAATTTCTATAAACTTATTCAATTGAAAAATGACAATTTACTTACATCGTCACTTGATTTAAAAAGATTTGAAGTTGTAAAAATTGAAATTCTCACTTACAAAAGTCTACCAAGTAATTTGACTAGATGAAGAACAAAAATTCAATTGTCACGTCACACCATGCAAAAAAAGTTTGAAATTTTCACTTATAAATCAAAACTTCAACGAGTAATTTGACGAGAAGAAAAAAAATTCTTATAATATGGCAGGATGAGGATGCATTCTTTGAAGATTATGCAGTCTCACACAAGAAGCTCTCAGAGCTAGGCTTCACGCCCCGAACCGCCAAAAAAAGTAGCAGACTGAAGTCGGCACAATGCGCAGTCGGAGTGCTCGCCGCCGTTAGTGTTGCCATAGTTGTGGCTATTCTCCTTAAAGGGCCATATACTAGGGAGTAAGAACTCATAATTTTAGTTGGACGTGTTAAAAAAAAAGCTTGCTTTAACATATTATAATGTTGTTACCTTTTTTTTTTTCTCTGATTATAATGTTGTTACTTCTTACAATAAAGCAATGGCATTCAGGGATTTTCCCATATTTGTACAAGAACAATAACCCAATAATAATAATAATAATAATAATAATTTCGGAGATTTTCTAGTACGCCGGTATACCGGTAGGTCAAGTTTTTTTAATCGTTAGATTTACATAATTTTTTATTTTTACGTGATTTTATACAGATCCAACAGTTAAAAAACTTGACCTGCCGATATGTTGACGTACCAGAGAAGGTCCCTAATAAAATCTTTACATCATACGCTTTCTCGGATCCCCACATCGAAAACAGTTGCAATAATGGCCTCCTCAAAGTCCTCGTTATCAGGCAAACATAAACAAGTCTAATGAATGATGGTGGTGAATGGTGATGGTGACACAGACAATTTTCTGGTTTGTTATTCTATGACAAGACTACCCCTCCACATTGACATCAAGCTTCGCCGCCTCGTTGCTTAGCAGTCTGACCAAGCCGGCCTCAACCTTTCCCGACCTTGTCCTCTTGAGGCTCCCGGAAATCGGTTAGATACCGGGGCTTGTATCGTTGTACGTACTTGTGCCATTGGTTCTCTTATGTATTTCGCAGCATTCAGGGAGTTAAAATTAGTAGCACAATACTAATTTGTGTTATGATTTTTGGTAATACTATGTTGGAATCAGTATTCTCATCATGAAGATCATGTTGTGGTGTTGATGATGGTTTGATTGATGAGTCTGTTGTTGTTGTTGGTGGTGGGAAATTGGCACGGTCCTCGCAAGGCTGAGGCTGCCAAATATAGGAGAAATAGAGGAATGCGTCAATGTCAAAGAGGCATTGATTCTCAAAATAACTCTTTAACAGTGAGCTCTAGAGTTTGAATCCCCACAACCCCAGTTGAAAATTTTCAACTCTGAGTTAGTAAGAACTATTCTTACAAGGAATCTTTCAACCAAATTCGATTTTCATTCTCAAAATAATTCTAGGACGCATTTACTAAATCATAAGGGTACGTTTGGTTTGATGGAGTGACCATTGGAATGAAATGACAATTCCTAAAAAATCTAGTTATTTTTATATTTAGTTAGGCATAAAGACTTAAGAATCACTATTCTTATGGAATTGTTATTCCATCAAATGTTACTAAAGTGAACAAGTTGAATGATATTCCATTCCAAAACATATATTAATTAAAATTTTCTCTTCCTAAATTATCCATCTCAATATTATAAAAATATATTTTTCTATTAACCTTAGTACAAGTCACTCATCAAAATAAAATAAAACAAACATTAAACATCTGCCGGCCCACAAGAGCATTACTTTTGGAGGTTTTTAACTTTCACTCATCACATTTATATTTATTACTTGCTTTTTGTTTGATTATCATATGTATTTAATTAATATTTTTAATATATCAAATGAAACATTCACTTAAAACATCGAGGTAAAAAAATAACTCGAAACATATTTGAATTTAGTTTAAATACATTATTAATGAATAAAATGAAAGGATATTTTAGTAGAAATTTATACTATTCCACTCTATTCCAATGTCTAACCAAACATAATAATTGTGATTCCAATATTAATTTCAATGCTCAACCAAACAATGGAATTTAAATAAATCATTACTCTAATCGTATTCTTATTCCATTATATTCCTATTACTATTCCATCCCATCTAAAGGAATGTAATAAGAAATGTAATGGGATTAGAAAGGAAAGTAAAGTAATAAGATTAACGATCACTTATTCCCTTTCATCTGTTTACTTGATTATTAGATGGTGTACTGAGAAACAATCCTATTCCCTTTCTTATGTTTAGTAAAATTTGAAATAACAATTTTATGAATGTAATAACTAAAATGTCTTTTTACACAAAAATAATCATTGATTGTATAGTAATTCATTAAGGGCAGATGAGTAAATTTAGCATTCATTCTCTTTGACAAGAAATTAATACTGAGGGGGTCTAAGGATTGATATTTTTTTTCTTATTTCTTATATTGTGTGGAGCCCACTAAATCTCTATTATTAATTTTGTAAGTAAAAAACATTATTAGAGAGAAAAGAGAATCACTCCTCACTTTTTCATTTCCCTTTGCAAAGTAAACATGCCCCTAATGTCAAGGTTTAAAGTTCGAAATCCAAGAATCCTAGTTTGAAAGGGGGGGAAAAAAAACTCGGAGTTAATGAGAATTGTTCTCTTAAGTAATTTTAGTAGCCTTCGTTTTTAAAATAATACAAAGGTCTAAAGTATGATCCTCACAAGCTCAATTGAGAAAAAAGGGAGAGTTATCTCAGAGTTAATAGGAATGTTTCTTACAAGTAATCTAGTTGTGACGACTCTGTTAAATTGGTCGACACTGAAACTAACTTTTAATCTATAACTTCTGAAACTTCCAAAATCTAAGAGATTTTTTTTTGAAATGTTACCTAGAATGCTATAGTAACATTTTATTTAAGTTATAAAACAAAATGCTACAGCATTCATACAACATTTTACAGTAAGTAAAAAAAAATATTTATCCCTCAAATTTTAGGGAGTTTCAAAAACTATATGTTAAAGTTAGTTATAGTGACGACCAACTCAACAGGATCATCACACTAGTGGCTGCCTGCTCCACAGAGTCCTGAAATTTGAATCAGTTCATAGGAAAGGCAAGTGATCAACAGGGCTTGTCAAGCATTGCTAGAAAATGTTGTGCAAAAAAATAAAATAAAATAAAATAAAAAACAATCAGTAAAAAAAAAAAGCATATTTCATTCACCAATCGAATAACTCTCTCTCTCTTAAATTCAATATTGAGATCTTTCATAATCAACAAGGTTTATTCTTTACTTTGGTGTTAACGGAGGGAAGAAAGGAAAAATAAAATAAGGAAGACTTTTCTTCCTTCCTTTCCTCCTCCAAGAGCAAATGACTAATCCTTTTCTTCTTTCCCTTCATCCTTAATAAATCTTTCACTTGTTTCAAAATACATTAATCTTCTTGTGCATGTGTATATATATATATATATACCCAACCCAACGAAAACCTTAATCCATTGTTCTCATAGTATTATTTGGGTAAACAAAAGGTACCATAATAAGGAAAAAAAAAAGGTAAATTAGTCTTGAAGGTGCTCAAATGGCGACACCCGTAGTGGATGCAAAGTATTTGAAGGAAATTGAGAAAGCTCGCAGGGATCTTCGGGCTCTTATCTCCACCAAGAATTGTGCTCCTATCATGCTTCGTTTGGCGTAAATTAATCTTTTTTTTTTTTCCTTACTTTTCTTTCTAATTTTATGATTTAATATAATATGTTTGTTGTTTTAAACATGAAAATAAACACGTCGTTTATCATTTGAAAATAAACGTCTTTATTGTTAAAGTAAAGGAAAATCACGAGAAATGATATCATTAACATTAGAAGTGTAAGTTTGAGCCGGGCTAAACGGATTGACCAAATCTGTCACTGTTGGGTTAGGTCCCGCCTCGGCTCTAAGCTCATCAAACTTTAGGGTAGGGCCGGTTTTGTACGAAATTTCCGTTCAGGCCGTTGGGCCAAAACTGAACGGCATGAACTTTTATCTCTAATTGACGTGCATAAATTTTGTGGCTCAAATGTCTTCTACTCGTTTATTATTATGGAGAACTTATCCGTTTTGGCAGCTCGTTTTGCAAGAAATAAACGATGTGTCTTTTTCACTATGGACTAAATTCTAATGACACGTTTTTTTGTTTTTTTATGGAATGAGATTCTCTCTCTCTCTCTCTCTCTCTCTCTCTCTCTCTCTCTATATATATATATATATATATATATATATCTTAAGATCAAAGAATCAAGCAACATGTCGTAACTTCATACCAAAATGGTTAACCCGACATGCCATTTAATGGTTCAGAAGAATACAAACATGTCGTTTTTGAAACTACGTCCATGCATGTTGAAGACGACAAGTTTTGTTGTTCTTTTACATCTGTTTGATTAAAAATAATACTAATTAATTTGGTCAATTAAATTTGCATTTATCTAAGCACACATCATACATTATTATGCATGTATGTATCATGCCAGGTGGCTTGATGCTGGAACATACGACGTGAAAACAAAGACAGGAGGCCCAAACGGCTCCATCAGGAACCGAAAAGATTTGAGTCATCCAGCAAACACCGGTTTGAAAATGGCTCTTGATCTTTGTGGTGAGCTTTTACAGTTATTATATATGTTTATATATATATATATATCATATAGGTAAAGTCTTAAATTCGGCATTCATGGAGTGCAACTTTTCTTTTATTCTCGTGCGTAACATTATATTGATATGTGTGTAATTGATAAGTGTAATACTCAATATTACATGTGTTGAATTGCATTTTTTTTTTAATGTTACACTTATAGGAACTAAGGCCTCCTTCACTTTGCGGATTCGAATTTTTAATTTGAGTTGGGATGTGACATTTTCTGAGAGCTTTTCACTGTAACAGAAAAAGTTAGATGTGACATTTTCTGAGAGTTTTTTACTGTAGAAACTTAAAAATGAAAACTCGAATCGGTGAAATGAACGAGGCCTAAATATTACACACAAAAATTACATGATTTATCAGACTGATCCGGTTGCCGGACTATAGATATTTTCTCTCTCTATGTATATAATTCATAAGCGAGTCATAAACCAAACCATAGAATCTTTGGTAGTAGATTCTCAATGAAGTTGACATTTGTTCATATGTTTGATTCCAGAGAATGTGAAGGCCAAACATAAAATTATTACATACGCAGACCTTTATCAGGTAAATAAATATTCTATTCTCAATGGTCCATTTTTGTATAAGCAAAGGCCATGATTTTTCTCGTGAAGAAGCGGTTTTAAATGCAACAAGTAGAAATTGAGATGCAACAAGTCAATATTACACAGAAAAAAAATTGTGAAATGACCTTTACAATCATTGACAAAAGCTGATTCTACATCGTGACGTGAAAAAATTTAGACGTATTATGTTATAATTATATAAAATACTTGTTTTATATTAGCAAAGCCAGTGATACTAATTCATCAATAATTGATTCTGCAATATAACATATCCGTTTATTTTATGTACTTAAATTTAAATTATTTATTTTATTATAGTGTTTTTTTTAATAAAAATTTAAAATTTAAATGATAAAATTGAAAATTATAATTTAAATATACATTTTAAACAAACTCGTAGAAATGGAGAAATAAAAGATCTTTAATACATAAAAAAAATGTTCTCTTACGTACATTCTTATTTTTTGCCCTATTCAAAATTTGAAAGCCGAGTGCGTTTGGTTCAAGAATTCGTGTCATAGTTCGTAGTTCGTTACAGTGTTTTTTCTCACAAAAAATACACGTAAATTAAGAATAATTCTGACTAATTAAGTAGAAAGGTTGTACTTTTCAGCTAGCTGGAGTTGTTGCAGTAGAGGTAACTGGAGGTCCATCTATAGACTTTGTTCCTGGTAGAAAGGTAATTTTACATAATATATATTAAATACTTATTAATTTCGTAGTTAATATGTTACACTTGACAAGCGTTTCTAATTTCTCTCCTCCTATAATTAGGATTCAAATCAACCTCCAGAAGAAGGACGTCATCCAGATGCCAAACAAGGTATAATATCACATAAATAGTCACCACTAAGTGATTGATAAAATTAGATTGAGATTTTTCTAATTTCTATGGTTGTTAATAAATAATTAACCTATTTTTGTTGCATAATTTTCAGGTGCATCACACTTAAGAAACATATTCTATCGCATGGGTCTATCTGACAAGGACATTGTGGCGCTCTCTGGAGGCCACACTTTGGTAACTTTTTTTAATTTTTAATTTTTAATTTAAAAGTGAGAGATTCAAACTGTAACTTTATGATGGAGTCAGGTGTGAAATTAATGTTAAGTTATACATGGAATCATGTAACTTGATTTCTCTTGAGATCCAAAGTTCAAGCTTTATTTTATTATTGTAATTATTTTAAAATTTTTGCTATGGGGAATATGTGACATGTCGTTTATTACCGTAACCTTACTATGACAAAAATTTATCATGAATATTACACTAAAAAAATAATAATAAATGCATACCTCCTATAGAATTGAATGTACTGTTTTTTTTTTTTTTTTTTTTTTTTTTTTTCTATCCCTATCAAGTTATGTTTTAGTTTCTTGACTTACCATAAAACTTTCTTTCATGATCTATGTCACTTAATTTTTTTAGATTATGCTATAGGGTATTCCTTATGGTATTATGTATTTATGAACGCATCAAATCATATAAAAATCATAATATATTAAGAAAATGTAAAGCCAGTTGATCTTCACAAAAATGTGATGACCAAAACGCTCGATTGGTATGAACTTACATAAGAATTCTCTTGAGATTTGTCCCCCTTTTTTTTGATTGAGAATTCTCTCTTTTTTTTTTTTTTTTTTTGGGTATGCAGGGAAAAGCTCATCGGGAAAGATCAGGCTTTGAAGGGCCATGGACAGAAGACCCTTTGAAGTTCGACAACTCATACTATGTGTAAGGCATACTGCAGAAGCCCATATATATATATATATATACACACACACTTTGTGTTCTATACACTAGAAAGATGTAACATCAAAAACTTTGACTAGCAAATACTATTGTCATACTTTAATTATTTACCATAATAAAAATATTAAGAAGTTGTAATAATAATCAGAGATAATTAAATATTTTGATATCTCACATGCCTATATATACATACCTTATGACTAAACATACTATTTTCTATCAGGGAACTTTTGAAAGGGGAATCAAAAGGGCTATTGAAACTTCCCACTGACAAGTCTTTAGTTGAGGATCCTGATTTTCGTCGCTATGTTGAACGTTATGCAGAGGTAAATTAAATAGAGAAAAAAAAAAATGATTTTCAATTGAAAATGTCATTCAATTGACAATCTATAAACCGATTCATTCAATTGAAAAATGTCACTTGATTTTAAAAAATTTTGAAATTCTCACAACAAAAGGTCTACCAAGTAATTTTAATAGGCACAGAACAAAAATTCAATTGTCACGTTGCCATCATGTGAAAAAAAAAATTGAAATTTTCAATCATAAATCAAAACTTCAACGAGTGATTTGACTAGAAGGAAAAAAAAAAAAAAAAAAAACCCCTATAATATATGGCAGGATGAGGATGCATTCTTTGAAGATTACGCAGCCTCACACAAGAAGCTCTCGGAGCTAGGCTTCACGCCCCTGACCGCGGAAAAAAGTAACAGACTGAAGTCGATGCAAAATGCAGTCGGAGTTCTCGCCGCCGTTAGTGTCGCCATAGTTGTGGCTATTCTCCTTAAAGGATCATACACTAGGAAGTAGGGACATGTAAGAGGGCAGTAACACACTTACAATGTTATTACTACCTATTTTTGTACAAGAATAAATAACCCAACAAAAAAAAAATGAAAAAACTTTGTCAAGAAGATTGAGACATACTAGACTGTTATTATTGAAGTGCCTAATTATTAAAAAGGCATTACATATTCTACAAATAAAGATGAATAAAAAGCTTCCTTTGAGTGGAAATAATACTAAAAATGTGTCGTACTTTTTTACTCCTACTTTATCATTATCCTCTCTATAGGAAGCATAATAATCAAAGGAGAACAAGTTTATCTCCGGCCTAGAAACTAATTTAACTAGCTTCTCAAATTAAATTAGCTATTAATAAAGATTAGGGAAAAAATAAATAAAAAACAACAAATAAGAGTCCTTAACTCAAGCCCTTGGACTCAAAGAAAGTGTAATGTCTTGGAAGACCTTAAGCCTCTTCTCAATCTTCTTCCCAGCTTCATTTGTGGGGCCCAAAACAGCTGCAATAATTGCCTCCTCAAAGTCCTTGTTATCAGGCAACAAAAACAACTCTGATGATGGTGACACCTCCTTCTCTGCAGACAATCTTCTAGCCTTGTTGTTATTATTCTCCGACAGGATTCGAGGCTCCACCGCAGCGGCGGGCTTCGCTGCCACCTCGTTGCTTAGTAGTCTCATCGAGCACGCGGCGTTTCCCGACCTTGTCCTCTTGAGGCCTTCTGGGAATTGGTTCGAAATCGGGGCCTGTACCTGTGCAATTGGTTCTCTTATGTATTTCGCGGCGTAGAATGGCTGCGCAGCGACATTCAGCGAGTTCAAATTAGTAGTACTAGCACTAATTTGTTTCGCGATTTTCGGTAATACTATGTTGGAATTAGTATTCTCATCATGGAAATCATCTTGTGGGAATGATGGTGGTCTGATAATTGATGATTCTGTTGTTGTTATTGTTGATGGTTGTGGTGGTGGCGGGAAATTGGCATGGTCCTTGCAAGGCTGAGGCTGCCAAATCGAGGAGGAACCGAGGAAGGCGTCGAATAGGCGGCTTTGTTCAACCCGATCCCCGCCCTTGTTCATCATCTCAGACTCGAGGTCCTTTAGCATTTGCTGCGCTCTTTCGTAGGCTTTGAGATGGGAGTCCGTGCCTCTCGGGCCATCGGTCAACGCGGGCTTAACCCGACGCAGATTCTCCTTGGCCTCCGAGATTCTGCCTTGTTTCATCAAGCAGATTCCGAGGTTGCACATCTTATTGTTGTCCGGTGCAATCGCCAGCGCCCTCCGGTAGGCGTCCTCGGCTTCTATGTAGCTGTTCTGTTGCATCAATGCCCATCCCAAGTTCCCCTGAAAATTTCAATTCAATTCAGTTTCATTCTGAAAAAAAACGACTACAAACGTTTAGAGTTTGAATCCCCACAACCGAAATTAAAAAAAAAGAGAGAAAAAACAAAAAATCTCGGAGTTAATAGAAACTGTTCTTACAAGTAATCTAGTGGCCTCCTGCTCCACAGAGACCTGAAATTTCTTCCCCTGAGATCTGGCCGTCTTGGTCCGCTTTCCGTTGAAAGCGAGGCCTTGCTGAATCAAGAACAGCTTGTGCCTCAAAAGTGCTGTTTGGTCATCCAATCTCCCACATCTCTAAAACAATTAAAAAAAAAGAAGAAGAAAATCACCCAAATGAAAACTTTAATAGTATTAATTTAAGAGTTAGAATTATTATTATTATCATTATTATTGTTGCAATTAACAAACCTTGTAAAGGTCCAAAAGAATGTTGTCAAGAGACTCTTGAGCTTGATCCGAACACCTACGTCTCAAAGATTTAATAGCTTCAATGGCTTCTTCAGCCCGATTCTGTTGCTTCATCACAATAGCCATGTCTTTAAGAGCGCTGTCCACTCTATCCCCGGCATTAATGGCTGCCCAGAATAGCGGAATTGACTTCTCCGGATCCTTATCCACCAACTGATACATAGAGTTACACAAAACCCAGAAATCAGATCACAAAATCAAACCCTCAAAAACAAAATAATAATCAAATTTTAATGGTTTCTGACCCAAAATTGGAGAAAAACCCAGAAACCAGAACACAAAATGGAACCCACCCCAAAAGAGAAAAAAAAAATCCAACAAAAGAAAAGAGCTGACTTGTTAACTTACTTGTACGTTTTTGGCTCGGACATAAGGAGAGTCACCCACAGGGACCTTGTGCGTGACGTGGAAGGACTCGGAGCGGGTTCGGGAAACTCCGACGGGCTTGGCCGGGGAAGAAGGAGCCGACTTGGTTGGCCTAAAACCAGGAGGGGCGTTCCACATATCCTGCAACATTTTTTTCTAATCGTAATTTTTTTTTTTTTTTGATGTTGCAGAAATATGTGAAGCTTGTAGCTTTTTTTTTTTTTTTTTTTTTTTTTTTTTTTTTTCTGAGAGAAGAAGAAGAAGAAGAAGAGGAAGAGGGTTTTGGATGAGGAAGACGAAGGAAGGAGTAGGTAGTAATACAAGAATAAAATAGAGACGTTTGAATTTTTCGACCGTTGAGGTTACCGTTTTACGAACTAGCCGTTGTGAGTATTGGGCTTTTTTTAGTATAGACAGCATAGACATATAAACGCTAGGTTATATTTGCACCGGTGCCCTAAACTTTAGCGTAATTATCTTAATTATCCGGACATTTCCATATTATTGGGTAATGCCCCAAAACGATTTATGTATTTTCCTTCTTTCTTTCGTTCGTTTTGTATGTACTATTCTTAGTGGAATGGTAAATTTTTACTGAAAAAATGAAAATTGGAATGATATTATTTTGTTTACTAGAAATAATTGATTTGATTTAATCTGATTATTGGAGCCTAAATACAAGAACAAACAAACAAACCAAACAAGTTGATCCAAAAGTAAACTTGGCCCTTCGGATAAAAAATATACAACGGTATCTGAAAGTTGTACTAAACCTCTGTTTGGTATTATTTTTGGAGGCTGTTTTTAACTCTTTTTAAGAAGTTACAGCAAGTTAGAGTGTTTGGCAGAACCTACTTTTGACCAGCAGCTTCTAAAAACTGCTGCCCCACAGCAAAATTTGAGAAGCAAGTCAGGAGTTATTTTTCCACATCAGTCTGTTGTCATTGTCTAAGTTTACTAAAATGACCTTAATAATAAAACTTAATTCCCAATCAACTCATTTTATTTCTTTCAAATCCAATTAAATGATATATTTTATTTTAAATGTTTATTTGAAAATTAAAATCTTTAATAAATATCTTATGCTAAATTTTAATAATATATTTTTGTTATAATGTAGTAAGTTTGAAAAATAGTTTACCTTTAGTTCTTTACGTTATTTGATTTCTGTATGGATGTATAATTTATCTCGCTGAATAAAACTAATTTATTTTTAGAGATGTTTTAATTAATAAAATGAAAATTATATGTTTTTAGTATTTTGGTGTATAAATATTATGAATATTAACTGTAAAAATAAAAATAAAACTAATTACAAGTATGTGTGTTAAATTATGTCTATTTTAGTCATTATACATCTTCACAATAATTTTGTATATAATTTACCAAACACTTAAATTTCTACTTCTGATATATACAAAAACTTTGAAAAAAAATTTACCAAACACTGACATGTTTTTTTATCACAACAGCTTGTGACTAAAGACACAACAACAACAAAAATTTTTAACAGCACAACAATGCCAAACCAGCCCTAATAATTGATCATTTTGTTCGATTAAAATTTAGTAAAAAATCCGCTTTATATTTTTTTCTTCACTTTATAGACACGGTTGAAGATCAAAAGAGAATAATCAATTTACTCAGAAAAAAAAAAAAAGAAAAGCAAAATTAATTTGAATTCCTTTCTTGTAAAAGTATAAAGATATATTCATATTTAAATATACATTCAGAAATTTATCTATCTAACTTATATATATATATATATATATATTTTTTTTTTTTAAAAGAGACATTTTCCAATGTGCGCTGTATAGCCTATAATTATGATATGAAATACAATAGAAAGATCAGATGTCATCTTATTTTATTTTATTTTATTTGGTGGGCACATATAAAAGCTAGATTATCACAAATTCATAGATGTAATCACAATTCCGAAAACAAGAGAGGTCGAGAAAGAAGTCATGGTTTCCACTGTACAAATCCCGCGTTGTATAAGAATAATGGTGATAGACACTATTATGAGAAACTGTCATACCTAAACAATATCTTCTTTATCCTATTACAATATCGCAAAGATTGTGAAGAAAACAAAATAACAAAGATTGAAAACAAGCACGTAACAACATCTTGAATAGTACAATGCAAGTCTTGCTCTGCATCAAAGCTATAGGGCCCGAAAACTGTCTGCTTTATCAAGCCTAGCCGTGCCTGAGCTTGATGACTCCCCCATTGCATCTGGAGACGTCGCTGGCTGGGCCGACTCTTTCTTCAAAGACGTCGGCAACCCTGAAATCTCCTGTAAATATGAAAGGATGTTACACCAACAAGACAAAGGGTTACTTTGTTAATATGGGAACTTTAGGACTAGTGTTTTCACTTTCAACTATGGAAATTTCTCTTTTACAATAGGCCTCAGAAAAAAATCACGTTAAAATACTTGGCTTCCAAAATACTGAATCTCAATTTCTAATTACTAACTTGAAGTAGTGGTTCCTTATTCATCCTCTTATTAATTTTTTAATCGTCTTGTCATTTTAAGGCTATGGCATATCTATAATATTACGGTCATTTTTCAGAAATTGCGATTTCTATTATTTGAATGGTATCGTTTTTACTATGCTGCCTCATCTCAGAATAGATTATCCCTTCTCAAAATTTGTGGCTTCTAGATCCTGTCACTTTCTACTATATCATTATGATTATCAAAGAATTAAGAAAAAATTGCAAGTAAAATGCAATTTGGACAACAATCCAACACCCTTTTTAAAGCAATTCACACATCAAATTGACTACCAACTGCTCTGAAAACTTACACGTTCAACAATATCATTTTAATACAGCGAAAAACGTGTATATTCGTTACACTTTCATTTTGCTAAAAGCACAAATAGATCAAAATTGAGAATTTCTAACTCACTTTCATTAAATGTAACCTCAAGTCGCAAGGCTTGACTTGATTTCCAATGCATGCCATCGCAAACTTGGAATATTGAAACAGAACATCAGCGGCAGCTTGCTTTTTCTCTTCAATCTGCAAATAAAATTCAACCATGAAGGATAAATTGAAGCAACATCAGCAGACACAGCACCAGAAACAACTTGGAACTAAAACGAGATTGAGAAATTATATGTGTGAAAGATTATCCAACCACAACATATTTACATTTTCTCCATTTTGTTAGGCCATGTTTGGTGAAAGGGAAAGAAAATAGGAAGGAAAGGGATACAACCCAGGAAAGGAATACAAAGAGGAAGGAGAGAGATCGTTTCTTAGGCATGTTAGGTGGGAGGGAAAAGTGGAGGATGGATAAGGATGAGAGGAGTAATGGATGGATGTTACGAGGGATTAGAGGAGGGAATGGATTGGGAGGTGAAGAATTTCAATTTCTCCATATGACTCCAATTTTGATCCTTCTAAAGGAGGAAGGATTGGACAGAATTCATACAAAACACAATAAGAGAAAAACCGTCCCCTTCTTCTCTGTTCTCCCCGCCTAGGTAATACACAACTTTCCTTTCTTTCAATCATACTACCAAACACAAGGCCGTGTTTGTATGGATTCCCTCGTCTAATCCTTCTAAATTAGAATACAAAAGAATTTGAATCCCTCACTCAATCCATTCCCCTCCACACACACACACACACACACACATATGTATGTAAAAAAAACATTCTTCTCTAATCTGATCTAACAAATAACCATAAGTCTTAAAATATATCCACTAATCCTTCTCCTTCTACAAGTCCCACTTTCTTAAAAACAGACCAACAAACAAACAAACAAACAACTATGAATTAAAAAAAAAAAAAGAGAAATTCCAAGCAGTAGATAACCACTGAGTTCTAATTTCTGTATGAATTGCAAAAAGAATCAGGCAGAAATAACAGAAATAGAGATCTCTTCACAAAAGATGAAAACAACATTGCCTTTCCTCCATATCTTCTAAGTTCTAATAAAAATAATTTATTATTAGGATTATCACTAGTTCAATAATTTGGATAAGCCAATAGTACCTAAGAAAATAATAATAATAAAAAAAATCCAAGAACCCACGAAGCAGCTAAAAAGAAAATACAGTACTGCGTTTTAGAAAACTAGAAAAAAAAAAAAAGGGAAAGAAAAGATTGTAACCGAAACAACTCGGGTGAATCGAAACTTTTTAAAAGAAAAGTGAGATTTTTAAGGAAATACAAATACAACCAGAGGATTTTACGTCCTGGGATTGTCCGAAGTGAATATACGGTGATGAAATGGAATATGACTGGACATTGAGGAATGCTTGAGAGTAAAATTTGGAGAAATTCATGAAATAAAGTTATGTGAATTCGGGGTTTGTGTTAGTTGGTAGTCAGAGGAAGATATTTTCTCAAGAATTAGGAGCAAATAAAAAAATGTAAAAAAAATAGAAAGAGAAGGTTGAGCTTTAGGATAAGAGGTGTACCTCGTAATCGTCCTTCATGACTGGAACTAGGCCTCCTCCTGGTTCTCGATCAAGCTGACGAAACCCAAATCTGAACTTGAACAGGCGGTGTAGAAACTAGCTAGAGAGAGAATTTTTTTTTTATTATTATTTATGGAATTTCTTTTTCTTTTTGAAAGAAAACAATATTCCACAACAAATAATGACTATGAAAATATCGTAACAACAGCGGCCTATTAGCTCAGTTGGTTAGAGCGTCGGGCTAATAACGCGAAGGTCGCAGGTTCGAGACCTGCATGGGCCACGCGGTGGTTGAACCCCCTGGGGGCCCCCTTTTTTTTTTTTTTTTTTTTTTTTTTTTTTTTTTCTCTCTCTCTCTCTTGTTATGAGCTAGTTATATAATACAATCCTTCTATATTTCAGGAGGTATAACTTTGATTCTTTGAACTTTTTGAAGACATTTTCATTTCTTCTTTTCCCTTTCTTTTTGTGAATAAACATGTAGCAAAGTTACTACTAGTGCTACATGTGGAATGAATTCAAAAAGAAGTTGCAAAATGTAGAAACTAGGTAAGAAAAAAAAAAAAAAAAAAATACGACCAACAATTTTTTCAAAGTTCAAACTACCATACTACATAAAATCATTCCATGCCCACATGCGAATATGATTATACTTCCAATCATTCCTTACTTTTTTTTTTCCTTGTTATGAGCTAGTTATAATACAATCCTTCTATATTTCAGGAGGCATAACTTTGATTCTTTGAACTTTTTGAAGACATTTCCATTTCTTCTTTTTCCTTTCTTTTTGTGAATAAACATGTAGCAAAGTTACTACTAGTACTACATGTGGAATGAATTCAAAAAAGAAGTTGCAAAATGTAGAAACTAGGCAAAAAAATAAAATACTTCCGACAATTTTTTCAAAGTTCAAACTACCATACTCCATAAAATCATTCCATGCCCACATGCAAATATGATTATAAAAAGACGTAACAACGGGAAGTTTTGATTTCAATTGCGCTTCAAGTATAAAATGCTGATTATGAAAGTCACTCTAAAGCCACTGAGAAAGCAGATTTAAGATTCCAAAAGATTAGAGAGCGAGGAGAACATAAACAAGTACAGAAAAGAAACTAGCAAAGTAAAAATTTCAAGGAAACAAAAGGAAATCATGTTTCCTTGGGAGGGGCCTTCTTTGCAGCCTCAGCAGCAGCTTTCTCAGCTTCTATCTCGGCAACAATGGCATCGATTTCAGCTTCCTCAAGTTGTCGAAGACCTTGTTCCCTTGTCATGACAGCAACTTCTATGTTCTTTCCGCCACTTTCAACAACCTAAATGTAAAATACACACAGCATAAACGTCAAATTCATTACTTTCATAGAGTTCTATACGCAAAAGACTGCCATGAACAAAAAGTTTGATCTCCTGATGCAAAGTGATTTCAAGTTACGAATTGTTTTAACGCTGCAATGGTCAAACTTTTAGATCTTACATGTCATTTACAATTTACAAAACAAGAATTGAGTATGAAGTTTATATCCTTGAGGACACATGTTCATCATTGATCATATCATTTAGAGGAAAACAAAAAAGGCAGTAATTGCCCCATTTGACTTCTGATATGCACGACTTCCGGTATAACAACCTAAAAAATTATAGTCTCTCATTTCTCATGATTTAAAGTTTTTCCATAGGCACAGAAAGATTGTAGCAATCATGTAATTGCTTAATGATGTGCATTGAATTGAATGGATGACAGGATATTTTCAGAGGTTAAACACTGTTAAAGCTGTCAGCTCGGGCTGGACTAGTGTGATAGGATGTGAAGAAATGGAAGAATGTATGCAACTAAAATAGAGGTTTATTTTTATTTTTATTTTAAGCAAGGCAAAAATACTTGCCTCGAGCAAAGCACGAATCGCAAGCTTTACTGTTTCTTGCCCAGAAGACTCTTTGTAGTTTTTCTCAAGAAACTCGCGTATCGAGTTAGAGTTTCTCCCAGTTGCATTAGCTTTCCAGGCTGAAAATGTCCCAGAAGGATCTGTCTGATACAGAGCTGGTGAACCAGTATAAGGGTCAAAGCCAATGATCAACGTTGAAAGGCCAAATGGTCTAACACCACCACTTTGTGTGTACTTCTGTTGAAGCCCAGCAATGTAGCGTGTTATGTACTCCACAGTCACCGGATCCTCGACTGTAAGTCTGTGGCTTTGACATTCAATTCTCGCTCTGTTTATCAAGACACGAGCATCGGCTTTGAGCCCAGCACAGGCCAATGCAATGTGATCATCCAGGTTCACAATCTTCCTCACCGTTCTGCACAACAATATCAAAAAAAAAAAAGAAAAGATCCCACTTTAATAATATCATCACTCACTAGTCACTACCTTCTGAACTAATATCAAACTTTTAACAATTTCCAACCCCCGGTTTTTAGTTACCAAACACCTCTATTTCGATAAATGGGTCACCAATTTCAACAGAACTACATAATTTCTTCATACAAAAGTTATGCCTATATTATAGAATAACTCTCACATCTAATCTGAAGCCTAAACTATTTTCACATTCTCCCTCTTCCCTTCTTCCAGGAAACAAGAAAAATGAAAAACCATCAGGCTTTAAGAACTACGATTGAACATATTCATCAGATTATAGTCAGCTTAAACCTCGCAAAATGACACATCTTTCTGGTTTAATCCTAATGAATTCCCTAATATCAGAATTCCTCACAAACCTAGATCAGCAAAATAAAAGCCAAAAGCCAAAAGAATATCACTATACCAGTCATCAAAACCTGTTTCCAGAGAAATACAAACGGAAATGGACGCAAAACCCTAATCAAAAGCTTCAAATTTCCATCATCCAAAAAGCAATAAACAAAGGGGGGGAAAAAAAAAAACCCCGCAAAATGACGCATTTCGCTTGCTCAAACTCGAATAAAAATCCCTAATACCAGAATTCCTCAAAAACCTAGATCAATAAAGCAATCGAAAAGTCCAAAAGTATCTCAGTCACTTAAATCCAAAACCCTAGCTGAAAAAGTTTCAAATTGTCGCTCTCCTCCAAAATCAATTGATAAAAGGAATCGCGAGAGAGAGAGAGGAAGGACCTGGAGTCTTGGAGCTTAGCGGCGGACTTCTTCTCGACGCCGAGGACGATGGTGTCCGTGCCGCGGACGCCGACGGCGGCGTTGCCCTTGCGGACGGCCTCGAGGGCGTACTCGACCTGGAAGAGATGGCCGTCCGGTGAGAACACCGTGATAGCTCGGTCGTACCTCGCCATTGCTAGGTTTGTAGTCTTTGTGGTTTGATCTGATCGAGAATTTAGGTCTCTTCTTCGTCCTCTCCTTGCTAGTCTGATCTCTCTCTCTCTCTCTCTCAAGTCTGAGATTCTGTTTTTTTTTTGCCTTTTTATGCAACTTTAATTGATCCCCAAGCCAACTTTATTTTTATTTTTTTACTTTATTTTTGGCTATATAATGAACGAAATGTCGTTGATGTAACTTCAGACGACATCCTTCTTTGATAAAAGAACGATACATCGTTGGATTAGACTCCATACGACATATTTTAAAAAATAAAACGATATGTCGTTGATGTCACTTGAAACGACATCCGTATTTAAAAACAACATGTCGTTAATGAAACTTCTAACGACGTCCTTCTATGAAAAGTAGAACTAATGGCATTTTACTCACGTGTAATCAGAATGCGCATAAATTGGATTGAACAAAATTTAGAGTGGGTAGAATTTAGAGTGAGAAATCAGAGTTAAAATAAATTTTTTACTTAGTGACATGATTTGAAATCGAAATCACTCTAAATTGAAATCTTATTCATGCGTTGACTTACACTCAGAATCAAAATAAAACAGTATAAAAGCACTAACATACCATTTAAGTCAATTTAATATTTTTAATTTAAAAAATAAATTGTGTACTTATTATATTAAAATTAATCATAATTAAAATATTTAGTGCAATAATAGGGTATTAAAATAATAAATATAAATTGTACAATTATTTAAAATATAAAAATAAATTGTTAAAAAATTTAAATAAAACAAATAAAAATAAAAAATAGTGTTAAAAAATTAAAATATATTATTAATTTATTAAAGTACATATTTTATTATATTGAAGTTAGAAATAATTAGGTTAATATTATAATATTAGGTAAATAAAATAATAAATATATGTTATAATTATTATTTTTTCAATTTTATTTTTAATTTTATATTTATAAATAAAATAAGGGTATGATAGTAATTTAATGTTAATATTAGGAATTATAGTTCCAATTCCAAGGGGGCATGGGAGTGCCGACTCTCATTCCTTAATCTCAAATTTGAGTGGAGCTCACTAATCTTATTCTCATTTCAAGATAAAAAAGAACAAGTAAACATGAGATTGACTTCCATTCTCCACTCCCATTCTACAATTTTAATAAATAAACCCAAAATGTTTTTAGTTTTGACTCACCAATCAGCATCACATCTTTTAAAAATAAAACGATACGTCGTTGGTGTTACCTCAAACAGCATCCATCTTTAAAAACAACATTTCGTTGGTACGACCCAAATGACATTTATCTTTTGAAAATGGATAATTTATGGCTGGATTTTGAAGAAAATAATATTAAGCGTGTTGATGTGTATCACGCAAGTGACAATTTTTCTGCTAATAAGTGATATGGCGTTCGTCTACAAGCGACAATCTTTCTTTTATTATTATTATTATTAGCCGAGCACTTGACAGTATCTTTTGTGGATACTAAGGGTGCGTTTGGAATTGGTTCCAAAACGTTTTTATTTTCTGTACGAAAATGAAAATGAAAACGTTTTTAGTTTCATTTTTGAATTATTTCTAAAAATGCGTTTGGTAGTTTTATTTAGAGATTGATTTCAGTTTTAAAAAAAACTGAAACTGCGTTTGGTGGTTTAATTTTTGAAAACATGTAATAATATATTAAATAAATAATATTATTAAATATATTAAATAAATAATATATTAAATATATTAAATAAATAATATTATTAAATATATTATATAAATAATATTATTAAATATATTAAATAATAATATATTAAATAAATATATTAAATAAACATATATAATACAAAAACGGTTTCAGAAAAGAGGGAAGAAAATGAAAAAGAAAAAAAAAAGTGAAATCCGTTTTTCAGAAAACAGAAAACGAAAACAAGAAAATGAAAACACATTTTTTTCGTTTTCTGATTTCCACAAAAAGACAAAAACGTTTTTGGTTTTGTTTTTAAAAAAAAATTGCACCAAACACGTTTTTAACACCCGTTTTCATTTTTTTGCTTTGAAAACCGTGAAAAACGAAAACGAAAACGCAAACAAACGGGCCCGAAAACACCTTTTTTTCGTTTTCTGATTTCCACAAAAAGACAAAAACGTTTTTGGTTTTGTTTTTTAAAAAAAATTGCACCAAACACGTTTTTAACACCCGTTTTCATTTTTTTGCTTTGAAAACCGTGAAAAACGAAAACGAAAACGCAAACAAACAGGCCCTAAATTTAAAACGACATTCTTCAAAAAAAAAAATTAAAACGTTATTTTTTTTTGGGATCCTATTTTAAAATTAAACCTATGGATCTGTATTATCATTGTTCCAAACATGAGTACAAATGACACTTCATAGGAAGTATTATCATTTTTTGTATTCAAAACCGAGTGCCGTTTTACTGTTGCAAACTTCATCCGTCCTTCGGACTCCAAACGACATCCCTTGCAAACATGAAAAGCATGTCGTTTGTAGACCACAAAGGAAAACATGCTTTTGAAACTCAAACTCTATGTTGACTTTAATCATCGAGTGACACGTTGTGTTGTGTAAACGATATGTCGTTTTTGGTTTCCTAACTTCAACTATACTTGTTTGTCCATCATGAAAATGAATTTGCTTCTTCCACCAGACAAAAGTAAAGGTAAAGCCAGCAACTTCCTTAACTTATATTATTATTATTATTTTTTAGAAGTCATTAACTAATTTTGGAATATACCACATCAGTTGATTTCAAAATCATCACTTGACTAATGCTAGGAAAGTATCAAGGAATGATAACCTTGGTAAGCCAAACTCAAGTCATGAATTGGTTTAACAAACTTAATATGCAAGTTTTATAAAAACACTTTTTGTTACAATCATCAGTCTTTGTTTATGTCAAGTTTAGGTCAATAGGTGCTTGCATGCAATCATGCACAATAATCCACTTTCTCAAAACCATTTGCCCACATCAAAGCAAAACACACAGAAATTTCAGATCATGCTTTATCACTTTGGGCATACATTTACTAGCCCTTTTTTATGTGTAGATAATTAGAGGAAAATTGGGTTATACAATGTACATTTACTTACTGTAGGAGCAACAATGTTCTCTACAAAATCTTACACCAAAAAGCACCTAATTTCCAAACTTTGTCTTGTTTTTGCTTAGCTCTTGGTTGACTTCAAATTGTTAGACTGTTGTTGTTCTTTTGGTGAGTGAAAGAATGGTGGACACCATAAGCTTGTAGTCAATTGGCTTTGTTAGATAAGCATCCATGCCCACCTCTAGGCACTTGGTTTCATCACATGACATTGCATGGGCCGTTAGAGCCACAATTGGAATGTGCAATTTTGTTCCTTCCTCTGACTTCCTTATTGCTTTTGTAGCTTCATAACCATCCATCTTTGGCATCTGGGTTCAACAAGAAACAGAAAAATAAATAGTTCAAGAGACATATGAGTCAAAATTCCTCTAGAAGAGCCCATGGTGAGGCACCACCTAGGATAAAGAGGAGCGGAGCTACATATATTTCAGTGGTGGCATGTATCCTATTGAGTTTTTAAATTTTAATTTTTATACCTAAAATTTCAATTATACCCACGATTAATAAGAAAACTTACGATTATGTCCCTACTTAGTAATAAAAAACTACAATGATGTCCCAATTCAATAAAAAAATGAATCTTTTACTTTTTTTTCCATTTTTGCCCCTATCAAATAAGTCTTCTGACTTCACCACCAAAAATAAGTCATATATCCAAACATGCTGAGTTTGAGTAGACTCCTAGACTTTCCCTTTTTATTTATTTATTTATTTTATTTTATTTTTTTCCTAGTGAGGCTTACTTATTGGTCCTTGGAGGAAAAAAAAAAAAGCATTGGAATAACCAAGACACAAGGAAACTAGCAAACAGTGAACTTGGTTTCAGTGTTATTACCTGACAATCCATCAGAATCAAGTCAAATGGAGAGGGATTCCAATTCTCTTCTTGTGAACAAGTGCAGGCATCTTTACACATTGATTGCCTACCGCCCTCATCGGAACTAAGCAAGCAATTCAGAGCATCCACCGCTTGCAGCCCGTCGCCAACCGCGGTTACTGTGGCCCCCATTTTCTCGAGCATTATGGTTGCAACTCTCTGCAGGACCGGTGTATCCTCCGCAAGCAATATGCGCAGGCCCTCAAGAGATTTCTGTTCATTCAAAGCCTTTGTTGAGAACATGTTCCCATGCTCCTTAGGACGGTTGCTGACCGCGCTTTGCTCTGGACTTGCTGAGTTTCTCGGTTCGGTTTCTGTTGAGACCAACTTGGTTTTTGCGTCTTCCGCTTCATGTGCCTTCTTCCTCAAGTTATTGTCATCTGGGCGCACATGAGTCAGCTCAACTAGACAGTTCTTAACCGCGTGGTATTTTGAGGAGCTGAGTTTAGTCATCCTTTCCCTTTGTGTCTCTTCCATTTCGAAAGTGGTTGTTATCGATTTGTTCGAGCTTCCCATTTCAGACATATCGGATTCATCCGAGCTCGCAGTCTCAAACTGAGTGGAATCAATCTCAAGACATTCATGTGAATCACCTTCTTTTGTTGTTGCAGTGTTAGTACTTCTCAAAGCACTTGGAGAACTTTTTCTCTCCTTAATCACAGCTTCAAGAATTTGAACCATCTTTGCCTTGTACAAAGGCTTATTAACCATCAAAACATGCTTTTTTCTCCTAAGTTCCATTTTTATGGCATTGGAGGTGTCATGGTTTAGCACCCAAGCAAACTTTGCCTTCCCAGAGTACTTGTCAAGGAAGTTAAGCTGTTCTTTCCATATATCAGTGCTCAAGTCAAGTAAGGCTATGTCCACAACCATGAGAAAATATGGGTTCCTCATTTCATATATGTTGAGCAACTCGGCCCTCAGATTCTCGTTCAGCGAATACTGCGCCTCAAAGCCATTGGTGCGGGCTGAATTCTTGCCTTGAAAGAGTACGCGGAGAAGTTGCGTCAGCTCATTCCACTCTGATGCTTCCACATTGAACACTCCGTTCTTGCGCAGCCACTGGGACATGATCAGTCTCCCCATGCTGCCGTGTAATGCAAGCAACACCTGCATTATTTGGAACACTCAATTCTTCACTCTTGTCTGAACAAACTATATTTGTTTTTCTATTTTAACAGGACAGAAGTACCAATTGAGATAATTTGGTAGATCAGGGACTCGTTTCAAGACATTTTAATAGTTCGGGGACTAAAAATGAGTTTAACCCTTTGTTACGAATGACGATAAACCTACTGAACTCAACCATTCGCCGAAAAGATGTAGTAAAATGAGACGAGTAAAGATGGGATAATCTAAAGGAAGCAATGCCACTCACCACCAAACCATGCTTTGCAAAATCTATTTGGCAATGTTGTTCTGTATTATCTGCAGGAGTATTTAGAACCAAGTAGAGTCGCATTAGAGTTCCTGGACCATTTTTCTTTACGACCTTTATTTCTCCACCCATCTTATTGACCTGTCATGATTACTGGCGTAAATATAAACTGGGGAAAGTAGTTTCAACAAATAAAAAGGAGAGTTTCCAAGGGTAAGAATCTTGCAAAGTATTTGCTTTTATAATGCATGATGATTTTATGTAGTTTGAGGGACTTAACTTACCAAAGTCCTCACTATGCAGAGTCCAAGGCCAGTACCACCATGCCTGACCAAATAAATAAATAAGGTTTGTTATACTCAAAGTTAAACATGGTTAACAAGGATCATTTCCAAAGGCAAATTTATTGACAAATTGTGGAACAAAAGTGGTTTAATAAAAACTTGAAAAAAAAAAAAAAAAAAACTCACGTCCTAGTTGTTGAGGGATCTGCTTGCTCAAAGCTTTCAAAGACAGACTCCCATTTACTTGGATCAATCCCTGCAATTTGTGAAAAAGTAATTCACATGATTCTTTTTTTTCCCCCTTTAACAGTTGGAGTTAATTGCAACAATATTGTGAATGTAAGGATTATATTTTCAACAAAAAAAATAAAAAAATCAAGGAAGAAAGTGTCAAACTGCTAGAAGTTCAGGGAGGTAGGTGCTAAGAATCTTTTAAAAAAAAAAAAAAAAAAAGGAAATTGTGATTCTTCATGTAGTTTTCATACCACAGCCTGTGTCATCAACTTCAAACCAAAGAATCTTTTTGTTATCCTTCTTGGGGACCTCCTTTGTGTGGTTCCCTTGATGCCTTAACTTCATCTTATGTGCACATCTCTGTTTCTTCTGGTCCACAGAGAACTTCCCTTTATTACTGACTGTATTCAAGTTTTGACACCATCCTCTAAGTATGACATGTCCAGCTGCATAGTGATTTATCAACAATGAGTTATATATATATATATATATATATAGAAAGTCACTTTATTTTTCACAACTCCAACTAAATACTCTCATTTTGGACTATATTTGAGTAAATGGAAAATTTTGACCCTTTTTCCAGGCCACTTTTTTTAGTGTCAAAAATGTAAAACTAAGGCCAGTAAAACTGAAGAATTCAGAAATGACACTCAAAGATGTAATCTTTATATTTATGCCTGCTAATGACATAAACTTAACAGTTATACTACTCAATTTACCAGAAAACTTACTGGTAGGATGCGATGTTTTTTTTCTTCTCGACAAAGTCCGGACATTTTCAGAGAGTATTCTACCAGAATATATATATATATATATATATATTATTTTAAAATCAACAAAAATGGCACAGATGTAAATCCGTTGGATTTTAGTGGCATACTATGTAATTCTCTCAATATATATAAGTTGCACTTACATGTTGTGAACTTGATAGAATTGCTTATGAGATTTGCAAATACTTGAACAACTCTTGCAGAGTCCCCTTGGACTAATTTTGGCATGTCATCTAAGAAATTATACATAGTAATTAGCAATAATTGTATGTGAACATTTGAAAAAAAAAAAAAAAAAAAGTAAAACTAAGAATCACAATATTTGCTGAAATTAGTTCCATCCATACCAGAGAGATCTAAGACAGTTTCCACGTTGTGATTTATGCACTGAACAGAAAACATATCAACGAGTCCTTCAAGTTCTCTTCCCAAGTCAAACTCAGCTTCTTCCAACACCAGTTTTCCAGATTCAACCTAGACAGTATATTGCAGATAAAGATGTATGATTTAAGACATATCATGATTTTTTTTATATTTTTTGGGCAGAAAAAAGATCAAATAAACGTTGATGTAATTAGTTATGGAAATCGACACAAAGCATGTATCATCTGCTCTCACATGTCAACTGTGTTCTGTCTGTCGCTTGGATCAATTTTTGGGGTTTAGGCGAATCGGAATTCAGTCAATAGTTTCTTTGTTTAAGGAAAGTATGATGAATAACGTGTCAGTTTGCCTTTATAGCTTACCTTGCTGAGATCCAATATATTGTTGAGAAGCCTTAGTAGAGCTGTTGAGCATTTTCTAATCTGGGTGACTGTGGCATATTGTTCATTTGTGAGGCAGTCATCACATATGAGAATGTCCAACAACCCGATAACTGCTGCCATTGGCGTCCTAAGTTCATGACTGCAAATGCAAAAAAACTTTGTTATATTACTCTAGATAAACAACATTATTCTATTGAGCTATCTGACTTTAGGAGCTTGTTTGGTACGAGGGAGAAGTGGAAGGAGGGATCTGGATAGGAGCGAGTGATTCAAAACCCTCTGAAAAACTCCACTTCATTGGACTATAGTGTTAAAGTACTTTATTACCCCTCGTTATCGAAGGGAACCAGACGCAACTAAGGATAAACCAGTAATTTTACAAAGAAAATCTTTTGTTTTTTCCCTTTTCTTGCCTCTCTATACCAAACAATTTGCTCCTTTTCATGCCAAATCTCATAAGAGAAAGGACCTATTCATCCCTCTCGATTTTCGTCACCTAAGTTACTCAGCTCTCGCTCCTACCAAACAAGGCCTTAAAAATAACAGAACATTTAGGTGTAAAAAGGAAACAATTCATTATCACATTAACCAAAAAAAAAAAAAAGTGACACTTCCCCACCTCATATTCGCTAGGAATTGGCTTTTATAGTTGCTAGATGCCTCTGCCCTTCTTCTTGCATCAAGATGACTGATGAGTTCTGCTCTGAGCTTCATTTCCTTTGATACTCCATTTGTGAGTATGAAAATGCAAATGCATCCAATCACTAAGATACACAACGATGCAGATATTAATATGACCAATGTCTTGAAGGATCTCTCATCTACCTTCCCCATTATATACTTTCTTGGGATTATGACAACACCCACCTGCAAATAGAAGAAAAAGCCATTCAAGCCTTTTAGGTACTACAAGCCAACTAAACAAGGAAATAAGTTTCTTTCTATAAGCTTAATAAGACTTTATATATATACACACACATATATATAGCGGCGTCGGGCCTATGACTCCTACTTTACTAACAAACGAAGAAAATGACTCTTGTTCGAACTATGATGGACATACGCACACACTCATGCACCCAACCACTTGAGCTAGTTTGAGCTTAGAAAGACTTACCAAAGGAAGTCTCTTTAGTTTTAGAAAGAAAGAGTCAATGTAATATTGGTGGTGACCAAGCTCAGCATCCTCAACATGAACCTCATGACTAGGAGGGAAATCATTACCATATTTTCTTCGTAACCACTGAGCCCCCATTCTTATAACATCATCATCAGAATCAACAGCCATCATGAGCTTAGTCCCATTTGTTGAATTCCTTAAAAGAGGAGTATTTGTTGACGTAGAGAGCAAGTAACCTTCTTGAGAGGTTAAGTACATATAACCACTGTGGTACTCAACAAGCTCCTTCATTAGTTGCCCTACACCGTACAATGCAGTAGTAACACCAACAACAGCCACAATGCTTTTATTGGAAGCATCCATGACTGGCAAGGCCGCCGAAAGCATAGGAGAATCCGTGAACTTGCTCACCGAAACATGCCATGTCGCGACACCATCTGGCACCTGTGAAAGGCCTGCAATGTTGATTAGATCCTCTGGTTGGACTGGCTTTGCTTTTCCTATCTTCTCGCCGCTGATGGGGTCGAGAGGCTCACGGTACCAAGTAGCGGAGATGTTACCATGTATGGCCTGATCATTCCACACTTGATGTGTTGACAACATGTTTGCGTTATAGGCCCCGACCGCGCTGATCGAGTAGTTTGCTAGATCCGAGTAAATGTAGAATGTGTTGTTGCTCCTATGATCTCTATGGAATGCTTGGACAAAACCATTCCTGTATTTTATAGTGATTGCATTTAGAGCTTTTCGGCTTGCAAACAAGGCCCATGTCACGTCCCTCATCGATTCATACAGCTGCTAAGATCAGAATTTTTTTGTAAAATTTGAGCATAATAGTTTGATACAACAGATGTCTTTATACATGTAACTATTGAATACAAATTAGTAAGTGTACACATGTGATTTTTGCAATTTATTCAAATTTTAGGAGAAACAAAACCATGGGATAGATTGGGATTGAGTTTTCTTTTTATCATTCTTCTACACCTACTAAATTATTATTCTTACTTTTTTAAGAAAGCACATCACCAGACATAAAAGGCGAACCTTATATGATAATGGACTAGAATTACCATTTCAATTTTGTTATCTAATCTACCAAATTATGTCGCTTTATTAAAAAAATTTAAAACTATTTTTAACTAACCATTTCACACTTCACTATTTGAGTTCATTAAATAATGTGGCATAAAGCGATTAATTAGATACCATTTGGAATACTAAAAATTAGACAGGTGATCTAAATCTAATGAATATAGCTAACTTAATGAGGAAAGAGTGATTGATGTTGGATTTTTCCCTTAAATCTCGATACCCAACCGAGACCTTGATCCTCAGAATGTGGTCTATCCTATTTCACCACTAAAGGAACGTGATTAGCCACATTCATCTTCAGTTATCCACCATTGTCCACATTCGGTGCACGTCCGAGAAGGACTCTGTGATGGGCAGAGTCTATAAAAGGGGACAAAACACATTAATTTAGGTCCCTAAGCCTGCAATCTCCATTCAGCAAACATATACACCATCAATGAGAGATTAAGTAAGGTTTAGAAGAACCGAAACCGAGTTTTTCCTTTTATCCACCGAGAATGTCAATGGCCGGAGGTGTTTTCGATCTGTTTCATTTAATTACGTATTTGATCTAATTGCTACTCAGCTTTACTAGCAGCATGTTTAGATCATTAAGAAATCCCAACAATGGACTAATAACCAACCTTAATAAGAAACACTTTTTAACTGACCTTTTCACACTTCACCATTTGAGCTCATTAAATAACGTGGCATAAGACACCATTTGGAATATCAAAAAATATTGGAGAGGTGATTTAAATCTTGTGATTATAACTAACTTAGCGAGAAAAGAATGATTGACTAATAACCAACCTCAACTTCTTCTGCTTGAGTGGTGGGCTTGCTGTACTTTCTGAGCACATACTCTGAGAGCTTAACCTGAGCCGTCGTTATTTCCGCCGTCGAATTCAAGATGTTCCACATCCTTAAAATGGGACGCTGTAGAAGTTCATGACGAAGACCATAGGCCAAGCTGTTGAGGGATTTTGCTGTGTAGATCCTTGTAAAATGCCATGTCAAAATGGTCAACAGCCCAATCAAAATGGCTAGCATGACCTGCGTAAGAATCTTCAATATAAGCTTATGTCCTTTTAGAGGTAGGGAAATTCGAGTATTTAACTTTTTTACTATAGTAAAAAGTTCTCACATAAAATCATACATCGACTCGAATTAAAAACTCGAATAAGCGAACTAAACTGACCATAATATGTTCTCTAGTAACGCCAATAAAAATTCCAACAGAGCAAGTACGGAAAAAATTAATATTCTTCTCGTAAGGACAATAGGTTTCTAAAGGAGCAAGCGCAGCAGAATTTTATCATAAACAGGATGAATGCAGATTTGTCAAAATTCTAATTCTCTGATAATAAAATTATTATTTTTCCCCCATTTACATAACAAGTATCGTTTTCCATTTGAAGGTTAGAGCAAATTAAGCTAAAATAATTCAAATTCTAACACGAGGGTTCTTTCCATTTACTTAAGCTTTCGGTAAAAATGGTAAACTAATATGGTATCAGAGCAATAACCCGAATTTAAATTCCTATAATTACACTATTTAAAATTATTATCATGCTCTGTTGGGCGTTTAATTTGTTTCAGGCTCTCAAGTACGTATTAAACTGCAAAGGAAGCAAGCTTAAGTCCAAACATGGGCATCCAAATTTATCTTTCCTCCCATATTCCAACTCAAAACATATCACAAGATTAGCATGTTTTAGGTGACCAATACATGACCAAAATTTTTGAACTTGTTACACTAAAATTGGATCACCAATATGGAAACTAACATAATTTAAAAAAAAAAAAAAAAAGAATTCACCAACTTAAGTACTACTACTAACATGGGCATCTAAATTTTTTCTCTTCTCACACACATATTCCAACTTACACATAAACATCTTTATGATTAGTGTGTTCTACAAGATCATAATTATATTAACCAATTAATCATAATACGTATATAGCAATCAAGAGGGGAGAATATATATATATATATATATATACACATATAAAAGTATTTTGAGAAATTAAAATAACATTACCATGATAGCTAGGCGAGCAACAAAGACACTGTAATATGATGAGAGGCAATAAGTATTAGCATATTGAAAGTCTTGATTATCTCTTTCAACATCTCTGTGGAAAATTCTTCTGCCACGTGGGGTTGTGTTCCTTCTCAAAGAGGTGGCAAAGCCTGTGATTCTATCAAACACGTTTCTCAAAGGAGTAGCCATTAGTAATGTGCTCCTCGTGCTGGTTTGTGCTGATGAACATTCAGAACTAGTTTCTGAGTGAGTTTCTAATATTTGATCAGACTTTTCTCCCCTTTAAGTGCTGAAACCATAAAGATAATAAATGCCATGCAATTGGCATAAGACTCGTATGTATGTGGTTTGTGTTTTTATCTGTGTGTGTGAGTGAGTAGGTGAGAGAAAGAGGAGAGAGAGAATTCTTTGGTGGGAATTGAAGTGTTTATAATATACTGGTTCTTGTGTCATTGCCACTTTTTGAAGGCAAGAGACCAACTTCTGTCAGTGGAATTGGTTTTTTATTCCCACCCACAGCAGCCTTGACATATCTCCCTCTTCTCTCTCTTTTCTGTATTTTTTTAGTTTTTAGTATTTTTTTTTAAATTTTTGCTAAATTCGGCCGTTGAAAATAATAGAACCATAATGCACATTATAAAAAAATTTATCATCAATAAAAATAACAATCTGTACAACTGAATATTATTGTTTTCTCACTTTTTTTTTACCGCTAATAAGTGATATTTTAATTTCGTGACGTGTCGTGAAACTATATTTTCTCGACGTAAATCATTTCCTTATTCAAGTAGATTATGCGCCCGTTTGGTTCGCTAATTTGAATTTTTAATTTGAGTTGAGATGTGATGTTGTGTGAGAGCTTTTTATTGTAGCAAAAAAGTTAGATGTGACTGTTTCTGAGAGCTTTTTTGTAGCAAAACTCGAATTCTAAACTCGAATCAGCGAAATAAACGGGGCATATGTCTTAAGCCGCCTTTAGAAATAATTGTCACAGAACCTTAGGCAATTTGCATTCTATTTGACATTTCATGAAGTGGGTCAATCTCAATAAGCCTCAAATTTACAAGAATTATACTTGCTTGTTTGGAAGAATTCTTATCTCCCAGCAAAAAAGCAATCTTAATAAACAATTGAGCTTTATTCTGATTGGTTTTAATGGCTGTTAATAAACCATTCATTTTAGTCCTCTAAGAATTTTGGCAATTTGGTCCATTGGCTTGGACGTTGTGCAGCTCATTGTTGCGGGACCAAGTGAATGACATAATATATCCAGCAATAGACTTTTGCAGTAGGAAATCTTCTTAGGGATGGAGTTATTCCCTTTAGATCGCCGCAGAAAATTTGAGATCCATACACGAAGCCAAAAAACTTTTTCAGTGGGGCCATAGCATAAAAAAGAGAACTTTTATAATCGTTAGGGAGTTTCTCTTCTCGACCCGTAATTTCAGTTTTTAACCGTTAAATATAGTTAAAATTACATCAGTTTAAAAAAATATGCAAAATATATAAATTTTAATACATATTTTACGGTTGAAAAGTAAAAAACACCAATAGTCTAATTTTTACGGAGACTATCCAAAAAACTCCCTAATCATTATATATATATATATATTTATTTTTTTAAATATTAAATATAGTTATATATACAAAAATTGATAGAACTTGGTATGGAAGGTTTACAACAAAGTCCATACATAAAATTGTCAAGAGATTGTTTTATATTGAATGAAAATATATAGTTGTGAGTTCATAATATTTATACGAAATTGAGATACAACTGAAATTTTACGTGTAAAAATTAAAATGTTATAATTTGAATAGGGCAGGACACTTGTTTCATCACTAGTTACAAGTAACTAATTTACCAAGCATTTTTTTTTATATTTACTGTGGTAAAAGTAAAGCATTTTACTGAGAAAATTTTATCTCAATCATCTTTCGGTGTGTGATGATGTTCCTTTGGTGGCAGCGTGAGCTCAACAGTCAAAAGCCTTTAAACCGAAAGAAAGAAAAGCCAAAAAGAAAGGAAAAAAAAAAGCCAATTATTTTTAAATGTCATCACAAGTGCATTAAAAAATTAAAAGTGAATTATATGAAGATCTAAAGTCTTATTTTAACCTAATTTTCTATAATCATTCATGACAAGGAAAGCTAATCTCCTTAGCAAGTGACACATTTTTTAATTTTTAATTTATTATTGTGTGAAAGAGATCATATATACATGAGTGAGTTTATTGACTTGTATTGAAATGAAACCATCATTGGACCTCAGGCTGGGAAGCATGCAGGCAGTGCTTGGTCAAATTAGCTTTAGCTAAAACCCACAAACACCCAATTTGGTCTCAAAGGAAAAAAAAAATACAAGAAATATGCAAAAAAGCAAGATAAGTATTAAGTAGAAGATAAGCAAATGGGGAATATAATATCCATTTGGGTGAGTAAGTGGGGATAGCTGATAAACAACCCATAGTTGATAAAGACTAATGTGGAAGTCGGCTTTAATATAGATAAAAAAAAGAGCGTGAGAATTCTCCAGCAGGCGTGAACCGCCATTGATAAGATATAATTTTGAACCGTTAGATTACATTAAAATTATATCATATTAAAAAACGTATGACAAGTTATCGAAAATCTGACGGTTTAAAACTCTTATCGTATCAGTGGAATATTGTCTCATAACCTACTACATAAAACTGTATAGTATAAGCGTGCACCATGTGTATTGACTTGGCACATTTCATCCTCTAGAACACTGTATTTGTGATCCACATCACTAGTCCATATATATATATATATATATATATATATATCCCCACAAAAGGCTTACGCAACAACCACTAGAGTTAGTGGCCAAGATTTTTTTTACCTCAAAATTTACAAAAGGACTTTTGGTGCCAATAACACTAAAAACTGTTGCATTACTATTGCTCAAGCCAAGAAGATAATATTTGTAAAGAGGAATTAATGCCATTATGTATTTTCATAATTTGTTATTGTTCTGAAACTATAGCAAATAGTCTCTACTTCAACTTGGTGTCCAATTATTGGATATGGAGATGCTTTACTTTCACACTTTGAGTTTGGGCACTTTTTTTTTCCCCATCTTCTCTATGTGTGTGTGTGTGTATATATATATATATATATATACACACACACACACACACACTTACTTTAGATCATATAGATAAGATTATATGTGCCAATATTTTTGTTAATATTTTATTTATTAAAGGGAACCAAGAAAAATCTTAGGTATGATTGATTGATTAATGATCGGTGATGCTCACAACTGGAATTCACTTGATCTGATAAGAGACAAGGAGAATCACCTCATTCATTCAAATTGATGAGGAGAAACACACGTCTAGAAATCTCTCCATCAGAATCAGACAAAGGAATCAAACTGCCATATCATATCATATAGGTCTTTGCAACGGGAATAGCCTTTTTGGGCACCGAGAATTTTGATCTTTTAGTAAGTTTTACACCAAAAAAGCATTTGATTCGCTACTTAAGACTTGCAAAAGTCCATGCCCATGAAGAGTAAAAAGACTAGTGGCGTGGAATTAAAGGCACATACACATCAAAATTCGTACGTCCTCATATGTTGGTGCTCCAATAATTTATTGAAAGAGGAAAAAAAAATGTATATGTATCTATATTCTATTGCTAATACTTTTTCATACATATATATGTATGTATATGTATATGTATGTATTGGTGTTCCATTAAATTATTGAAAGAGAAAAATGTATGAAGCTTTTTAATGGTAGTGGATATTAGCGGTATATGTTTTGGAACCTTAAATTTAAAAAATTACGTTAAAATAAAAAATATATATAATATTGACAGAATTTAATATAAATTTAACGGTTTTAAGACCTATTAGTCTAATCACACAGGCAAAGAAGTTGGTGAAGAATTTAAATTGTAGGAAGATTTAGTTATAAGTAGTCGTTTTTATTTTATTGTCTATTTTATTGTCGTTTGTTCTTGCTTTCTAATTTAGTTTTATTTTGTTATTAGCTTGTCGTTTATTATTATTTATATTTTGTTATTGTTTTGTCAGTGGACTATAAATAGCCACATTAACTATTGTATTAAGAGGATTTAATTAGTGAGATTTAAATTCAAAGTTGTGTTTTCTCTCTAATTTGAGGGTTTTTTTTTTTGTTTTTTTTTTTTTTTTTTTTTTTTTTTTTTTTTTTTTTTTTTTTTTTTTTTTTTTTTTTTTTACCTTTTGTGATGTTTCTTTAGGTAGAATTTTATGTCTCATCTTCTGTCCGGATTAGGCCAGTAAATTTTTTTTTCTGTCCATTCCTCTGCATCAAATTTAAGTAGGGACTGTGGGTTTGATCTACTTGATCTTTTTTTAAGAATAACAATAAAATAAAAAAGCTTTTCTTTATTAAAAAAAATTTCTACCAATACGGCATACGGTTAGAGTTGTTCAAATATTAAAGTAAAAGAGTAACATTTCATAGTCCCACATAAAAAAGGCATAAGGCTTTTGAATACCTTATAAAAGATCACATCGCATAATGAGATATGAAAGTGCGAAAAGACAAACCCTTGTAGCTTGCACTGTAAATAAATCACCTCATTCAGTATTCGTAACATCCTCTCTCTTAGATACTATTCCATTTTTATTATCTCAAGAGAGGGGACAAATGACGTTTTGCTGCATATCCCATACGTATTTCAAGTATTGGTGCATCAAATTTCCAACACATACTCCATCGTACAATTCACCAAAAATTGTATAGCTAATATTTTGCCAAACCATGAACAAAGTTGGCGCATCTTATGAGACAAAAGTGGTACACGCATGGCAATCTTATAAAAATTATTTTGGGTCCACAATTCACAATGGCCATACCTTATTGGATGATAGGATACGGTGTCTAATGAAGTGGGACCCACTATCCAATGACAGTGCCAATGACACGGGAAATGCAGCTTGCGGACAAAGTTTGGTATCAGTCAAAACCAATGAACAAGATATTAATAAAAAACTTATGAACTTGGTTAAACGGGTTAAAAGGCCCTCGGCCAATATAAAAAAAAAAAAAAAAAAAAAAAAAATTCAAGGACTTTCTGTGGAAGGTTTTACGATTAAGGATATTTGTTTGATGTTGATGTAAATGCAAGAAAGAATAATAAAATCTAACTTTTTCATGTTCTGATTATGAACTATTTTGACTGGTGCCAATTATGCAATGACAAAAGGGATGTCGTTCATAGACTACCAAACACATAATAATCTCCTAGTCCTACCTAAAAGGCAATGACAAAAGGATTGTCGTTTTATAATCTCCTGTCTAAAAGCTGTGGTGATAAGGATTGAGGAAAGATTAGTGAAGAAAAGAAAACGACGTTTACTAATTATCACTGAGGAGAAGTCGGTGTCACTAAAGAATGAATTATTGTTTATGAGATGTACCAGTCACTTTCATATGTTCAGAAAATTCATTTTGTGGGAGTGGAATCACAATGGCAATGAAAATATCAATTCAAAATTAACATATAAACTGCCAAAGATATGTTCTTATCCCTTTAGATCAGCTAAACCAAGTGATAAAAAGCCATTTCTCTACAAGCTTCCTGTTTCCAAACTTTGAACATAATAACACTTTGGTTCTTGAACCTTTAAATTTTAAAAATTGTTTGTCAATTTTACTTTCGGGAACCAAAACTATCAAAAGATGAAAGTTTAGGGACTAATATGTCAAAATTATTTCACTATGCTCAAAGTTCAAAGACTAACAACGCCAATTATCCCGGTGTTTTCTCTTAGAAAAAGTTTAAATTTCTATTCTGGTTCAAGCCTATGAACCAATTGAGCACCAAATTGATTAATCATCAACGTCTAGTCCTCATGTATATTTCCATATCCATAGAGTCTAAAGCATGTGATGAAGAACTAACCTTGTTTACAAAAACGAAAAGTAGAAGGGGCCCTGAATTTAGTTCTACAACAGCACAATCAATTGGACAAATTAAAAACTTGTTCCCATTTCTGAAAAGGAAAGAAAAGATATGCACAAGTAGTTTCTCCCTAAAGCACAACAACAAGAAGATGAACATTCTGTTTCTCAATCTTGAACAAAACATTAAGAGCTTTAATACCGCACGAAACATTTGATGAAACTAAGATTGATTAGGCGTGGAAAAGGAGAATGTAATTAGGAAATTCCCATCATTAGTTACTTGGAATTCTTCTTAGCCTTCATCTCAGAAGTTGCAGCTTTAGCAGCAGTTTTGGCTAGAGTAGTAGGTTTAAGCACACTTTTTGGATTCAATGCCTTCCGAATCTTAAACGCAGCCCAGGCAGTGCCGATAGCATGTCCAGCAGCACTAAGTCCTTCATTCGTTGCCTTGCCTGCTTGTTCCCCATACCTATATGATACCATCATCATCCGAATAAGATTCTCACAGCATTATAGAACATGTCATTACTATTCCATTGTTTTCTCTAAGCACAACTGTCACATGTCAGCGCATTTTATGTCATCATTTTGTTACTTCATTGTGTTCTTTCACTACTTTCTTTACTCTATAGATTTGAATATCTGGTGAAAGTATACCTGTGGGAGACCAGTTCAGTGGTCACAGAGGATGATGTTGACATGACGTTTTTGCCAGATACTTCCACAGCATCACATACCTTGTCTGTTTGCAAAGGAAATGAAAATATGAATACTATGAAAGAAGATATTAGATAAAGTTTGATGGACAGATGAATGTGTGTAAACACACCTCTAAAAGCTCTATTACTTTACAACTCATGTTGTAACATCCAACTAATCCTAGAGAGAAATCATCAGAGTGGCGAATTTTGAACTTATCGGCATGATTTGCAGCTGTGAAAAATATTTGACTAGCCCTAAATGAATAAAGTTACTGACAAAAGAAACTTGATTGATGAGGATGAAGGGATAGTAGGGGAAAAGCGTTATCAATATCATGGTGCCAAATGAAAAGAGGAATACAAGATGCAGAGCCATATTCCATTAGAATATCGATGGAAAATCAAATAAGGAGCCCAAAAGTAGTCAAGTAGAACATAAAATTCAGTTATAATACGTCTTAGAAAAGAGTGATGTAGACATACTAAATCCATCCAGGGATGCAAGTACAATTTCTCCAGGAAGAAGGCTGAAAAATTTCTTGCCCACTTTTGAATTCACCACTGAGCTTGTAAAAAATCCAGACACTTTAACAACCCCAGAAAGGACTCCGTTTGCTACTTTCTCTGTCATTTTGGACACCCTCTTAACCCTGCACACACAGCAAGGCCAAGAAATTGTGATGCCATCATCCAATCATAAGCATCCCTGGATACGATACAAATTAAACATCTCTCATTGTAACTCCTGAAAAGCGTATCTAGAATAAAGGACCAAGGTCCAACTATGACTACAAATAGAATGAGGCCCATTGTGTGAAATTCTCATTTTTAGCAATAGTTTAGCCCCCCCCAATCACCAACAGGAACTTTTATTTAATTCCACAAAAAGAAAAAAAGAATCCTTTTTTATTTTCCCTTTGAACGAACAAGATATTCCTGGGATAACAAACTGCCAGAACAACATATACATTCACATAAAAGAAGAAACAAACTATCATAATCAAATCACATAGAAACAAGCAAATAAAGGAAGAAACATAAATGCAAATACCACCGACAGAAACCGAAACTCAATAGAACTAATAATTGCAAACTTCCAAACTCAAATGAGAGAAAAAGAAGCAAAGTAGCATCTAGACAAAATGAGGTCCATTGTGCAGCTGACTAAACAAATTGGCCGAAAAGCTTCCCATTTCAAGCATAATCCCCAATCACACCAGAAAGTCCTACGCTTTGTTCAACACAAATGCAAAAAGAATCCATCTTTCTTTTCCCCTATGAACACTTTTTTTAAAAAATAAAAATATTTTTCTAATGGATATTGAAAAAGATATTCCTGAAATAACAAACTGCCAGAACAAGATATACACGCATATAAATCAAGAGACAAACTATCAGAATCATTCCACACACTCACTGACAAACAACACGAAAGAAAAAAAAAAACACACATACACACAAAAAATGCAGATAACAACAACAGAATGAAACTGAAACTCAATAGAACTTATAAAAGCAAACTTCCAAAACATCTCCTATTTCATATACCTTTTAATCCTCCTCAACGTTTGGGGACTGATCTCCTTATCCGGGCGCGAACTCATCCTCGTCTTCATAACCTCATTCCCCCATTTCAGCCTCTCCACAGTCACATCGCCGCACCACAGAATCCCCCTAATCAGCTGCCCGGACCCGGCGGCGATCATCTTCGCCGCGGTGCCACTATATTCCTCCACATTCGGAGCCAGCGTCGTCCAATACGCTGCGCTCCGCTCTTCGATCAGCTCCTTCTTCTTCTTCTTAGTCTTCAAATCTGCGGGCGACATCTCCATCGCCACCGTACCATCCACCACCTCCCCCGCCCTTTTCGCCTCCTCCGAAACCCGCTGCACCGAGAAGCTACTGTAATGCTCCAAAACCGCGTCCAATTCCCTCACCAACGCCTCTTGCCCCTTCGACGCGATCGTCAATCCGTAATTCAACAAATCATCATCGCGAACACCACCGTCGCCGTCGGATTTCTTCCCCTTCCTCTTCCCCCCACTCTCCTCATCGCTCGAGTCCGAATCCAACCGATGATCCGCCGGAATCCGCAGCGCGAAGAAGTAATGCGAATCGTCGAGCTTCACGGCGGCCTCGTCCTTCGCCAGAGGCCACTGGATCTCGTCCCCGACTCGGGCGAGAACCGCGACGACGTTCTCGCCCTGGCGGAGCCGCACGACGGCGAAATCGCCGGAGGCGAGCTGGACACTGTAGTGCTTGTCGATCAGGTGAAGAATCGCGCCGGGAATCCTGACGACCACCTCCTCGGTGGCCTCCGGCGGCGCCGACGGAGGGCTCGACACCGTCGAGGACTCCGGGAATAGATTCTCGACGAATTCGTTCATGTCGATCGAGGGATAAAGATTGGAGGTCGCCGGAGAGGAAGAGTTAGGGATTTGGTGGTGCCGGAGAGAGGAAGCTTCGGGATTGGACTGGATGACCTCCGGATATAAGGAATTTCTATAGCCAGGGTTTTGGGAAGCCATGAATGGATTTGATTTCTTCTTTGTGATTTCTTAATCGTTGAGATTTCTGAAATTGGGAATTTAGGGTTTTTATTGTTTTTGTTTTCTTAGAAGCGAAGGCAAATCGGAGATGGTGAAGTGAATAAGTTTGCGCGTACGATTAGCGGAATCCGATGAGATGACAGTTTGAGCGTTTAACTGTCTAGGGAACTTCCCGCGCGAATACCGGTAAAAACTACTAAAAATATTTTATTAAGATTTTTTTTAAGTACATAAATTTATTAGTAGATTAAGTTTTTTATTCGATAAATATGTATAAAAATATATAAAAATAAAAAATTATATCAATTTAATAATTAAAAAAACTTAACATATTAATACATTGAAGTACCAGGAAAAATCTCTCTATTTTATTTTATTAAAAAAATTTCTACACCAAAATACGAATAAAAACTTCAGCTCCAAATGATTATTCTTTGATCTCAGCAGGGGAAAAAAAATCATTATTCTTTGATCAAGTTCAATTTGTCGTTCAGTTTTATATAAGATTGAAAGGATATATTTCACACTTTTAATTAAATTCTTCCTAAACAAATGTTATTTATCACATTATTGATGGAATTACCGTATATGTACGAAGACTCTACAACTGTTTCTTAACATTAGGGAAAAAAAGAGTTCAACACAATTTGTGGCTTTTTTGAAGGATTTTTTTTTTTATAAATAGCCAAAATTTTATAAAATTTTAAAAATGGCCGCTTTTATTAAGTTATTGGTCAATCACTGATTAACTTAACTATCTATTACTGATGTACTTAGTGATCCATCCCTGATTGATTTTAGTTTATTAACTTGATGATTCTTCATTATTAATTATTACTTAACAAAATTCAATTAATAATTAATCAATTTCAATCAATAAATTATAAGTTTATTAATGATAAACTGTTAATAAATTATGGGTCAATCACTAATTGACTGTAAGTCAATCACTGATTGACTGTAAGTCAATCATTAATTGACTCCTAAAAAAGACCATTTTCGTTGGTCATTTTTGTAAAATAAAAAAAGATTGTTCATTTATGAAAAAATGTCATTTAGCTAATATTTTGAAAAAAAAAAAAAAAAAAAAACTAGAAATACCATTATCAAAATGGTAAAGAATAATATTTATGCCACTACACTAAAAAAAATAAACAAATTTTATTCAATTAATAAAAATAAAATAAAAGGTCATGGCACTAAATTATTTAAAATGACATAAATAATAAATCTGCATAAAATAAAAGGTCATGGCACTAGAAATACCATTTTCGTTGGTCATTTATTATGGAATCGAGAAGTTGTTGTTCTCGTTATTATTATTATGTTATGTGACAAATGATAATAATTAAATAACAACAGCGGTGATGCAACAATATCTTATAAAAAAAAAGGATAGTTATAAAAATTCAGCAAAAAAACAAAAAAACAAAACAATATCTTATAATAGTTATTAGGCAAAATACCAAAAGAAAAAAAGGGTGTCATTCTACAACAAACACACAGGTTGTGGTTGCATAAAAGAAAGGAAAAATGTTTAACAAAACATTATTCTTTACTTTTTGGTATGATAAAACCATTACTTTGATCAAATTTCGATTTTCGTTAAGTTTCATCCTTTTTTTTTTTTTTTTTAGTTTTGATACACTACTAATGTGATCTAACGTGTAGATTATACAATATTGATAGGGTTTTTTTTTTTTTTTTTTTGTACTTTACCAGACAATTATTCTCATCGCACAAAATTTTTTCTTATGGTTAATTATAGTTTAAACCGTCAGAGCTTTATTAATACTTATTAAAGTTGCATACTATTTATAAATGTATGGATATCTTATTATGTTCATGATAGTTCTCTCCCACTCTTGATCTATGTTTTTAGGTCCCAAAATTATGCATGCCTAATAGAAATCTTTTTATACATTAATTGTACTAATGGATAGATTCCAAGATGACATTTTGACATTCTAAACAAAAGAAGAAAAAGAAAATAAGCTTGTTGATTTATGATTATATGTCCCAACTACTTGCTTTTGTTTGTTTTTATTGTCCAAATTGCATGGCATTATTGTGTCCCCAGCCCCTGTCCATATGAAATATAGTTGGCACAACCCATCAAGTTCAATATTTAAAACACAATGAACTTTGTCAATTGTCAACTCAAGCATTAATATTGATTGGAACATTTGTTCATGGAAGATGTGGGGTGAAGAGTGTGAAATGACATCTTAACTTACTATGCAAGAGAAAATGGGTCCAAACTCTCTTCTCTTCCTTCTTTTTTATTGCCAAGATATTAGGGTTTATTTAGTTTGTTAATTCAAGTTTTTAATTTGAGTTGAAATATGATTTTATGTGAAAATTTTTTACTGTAGTAAAAAGATTAAATGTGACTATTTTTTAGAGCTAAAACTCAAATTATAAACTCAAATTAGTGAAATAAACTATGCTTGCTTTGCAATTACTCTCAGCTTGAATTTTGGTTCTCCTAAAAAAATTGAAAAAAGTACATCAAAAGTCTTTGAATTAGACAAAATAGAGGCCAAATGAGAAGAGAGAATACTTTAACAAATTTATTCCCAAAGGCTTATTTATTCTGTAAAAAGGGTAGAAGATTATAAAATATAATCAAATAAACCCCTTTTCTTAAAACTTCAACAAGAAAGTACGTATTTCCATGGGACCAAGCTCAACGACAAGAGTCGAGTTATTGAGAGGGCCTCCTTTGACTGGGGTTGGTTCTACTTTGCCTTTATCTCCCTCCACTTTCCATGACTTTCTTTTTATCCTAGACTTCTCTTGGTTTGCTGTTAAGCTCATTTCCTTTACCTCCTTTATCTGAGTACATTTCCAAATAGAATCACCAATTAATCCTTTTATATGTGCATTTATATATATATTTATATATATACACACACATATGTGTTTATAATACTTACTGTTTTGCTAGAAAACAACTTCTTTAGTTCAACTTTGGCCAATGTTGAGTATTCAGGATCTTCACCCGCCTAAAACATTCAAAGCATGAAAATCATGCAAGATTTTAGTTTGGTATTATGAAAGTTATCGTGTGACTTGTAATTTTTTTTTATCCTTTCACCTCATATAGATGTGCCAAACGAAGTAACACACTTCCATCATCCAACACCTGCACAACTAGGATTAATTAGAGAGAGAAACACCAAGAAACACTTGATCATTTTTCATATGTTGTTTTTTCTGATGCTAAAAAGCGACGTTGTTTTGACAAAACAACAAAAAATTCTATTTTTTATAATTTTCTTTATTTTTCGTCTTTGAAAAATAAATTACATGTAACAACGTTTAAGAACAGTATTTATCACTATTGATGATACAATCACCGTATATGTGTTAGTATATTAAAACAGTCACGTAACAGAGTGAGACCCAATTATTTATGTAACGATTCTTTTTTAGTGGCACCTGCGTGATGATGTATTACTAGCGTTAATAAAGTCACCTGGAGAGTGATCAAAGCAACATTGAGAGGCAAGCTGTAATTTGGTTCAAAGCTAGATGATGTTGTCGTATAAGATGCTATCCAATCCTCAAATTTCTGAACATTCAATTAGAGTATAAGATTAAGGGATACAATTAACAATTGATACAAGAGTATTTATAATTATAGATGATTATTTAAGGTCATATATACCTCATGTGTGAAAGCTAAAAGAAGAGGAGAGTAAATTTCTTGGCCTGTCGTTCGGCGCCATTGTGCCCCAGCCCCTGCCTGGTTGATGCTCACATAATAATTTCCTCGTACCTTAAATCAAGGAAATATTTATATGTCAAACATGATCATAAGAAAGAAACATTAACATATCAATGAAGCATCTTCAGAGCAATATATATATATATATAGACAAAAACGACACGCCCAAATTTTATAGCATGTCGTCTTACAAATTAAACCGACAGAAAAGACACTTTCAAAGCGACGTGTTGTTTAATATACTAAAACGACATCCATATATAATAGAACGTCAGATATGTTTCAATAACACTATGGTCGTCCAAGAGAAACGACATTGACCCTTTTTTAAATAAAAAAAAAATTCAGGTTTAAAGCGGCTTTCGGTAAATACAACATTAGAAAACGACAAGGAAATGTATTATAAAAACATGTCATAATATTTTCATAAACGGCATCTAACATAAGACAATATGTCGTTTTCATGAAAAACAAGAACATTATAAATGACGTTTGCTTTTTTGCGATTGATTTTAGATAAAAACAACTTCTCAAATATACGACATGTCATTTTATCTGTAAACGACATGTGGTTTTAAGAAAACAATACAATAATAGGCATGTCGTTTGTAATGACATGCAAATACAAATGAAAATTCGTTAATATAAGTTCATGTCGTTATAATAAAACGATATCAAGTTAAAAGCATGTCGTTTTCTTGTTTGAGATTTCATGTGAAAAACGACATCCAGAAAACAGGACATCCGTTTCTATAAAGATCGAAAGTGATATCGACACTAAACGACGCGTACTTTTTTGCCTCGTAAAAACGACGTATATTTTACATTTGCTACGACATCTTATCATGAGTAATGAACCGACCAGGCATTTTTACTTTTCTAGTAAACGACATGTCATTTTTTGAGTAAAGCGAACTAATAGCCGGAAATAAGTGAACTGATTCTCATTCCTCATCAATATGCTACTGAAACTATGCCTTGCACATAAAAAACGACAACAATATTGATGAACATCAAAGCATTTCCTCAAAATTTAAATGCCAAAAATTGACAAGGACCCAAAAAAAAAAAAAAGGAAGAAAATTTCCATAGCACAAATTATGTGTATATGTCATGTGATAAATTCTTACCGTTAGGCCTTGACATGTACTTTCAATACACACCGTCTCATCAAGGGCTTCACCCACTCCTCTACCGTCATCAGCAATCATGCGCCTTGAATATGAAAAACGACATCAATATTGAAGAACAATGTCGTGCACCAAATCTAACAGAGGTGACCTCTACATCTAAGTCCTCTCCCATGTGGGTCCTATCTTTTATTAAATGTGGTGTTCGACACTACCGAGTACTGGAGCGAGATAAAAATAAATAAAAATTTCGAAATGAACTTTAACCTGTGCAACATTAGTTCTATTTGTCCATCTGCTATGCTGGCTCCACCAGTGGCACGATCAACCAGTACGGATAATTCAGATTTTTTATCCACAGCGAAGATTCCAAGATTAAGCTGCAATGAAGTTGTATTAAGAATAGTGCTACCGGCATACTAATTTTTTTTATTTAACCAAAACTGATGTAACAAATGGATTATGATTTCAATTGTAAACTGAAATGATGTAGTCACCACATATGTGATATTGCATTAAAGTTGCTACATAATAATGACGGATCTGATTATTTTCAACTCATTTGGTTCATAAGTTTGAATTACACGTGTGGTGATGCACTTTATTGTTACTGCATTTATTAGGAGAAAATCGTTTTAAACATTTTGTTTTTGAAGGAATAGAAGATTATGTTCTACTGATTTGAAATGCGGATAATTTACATGTCATGTAAGCTGATAAGAAAATGATATGTATAGAGATATTCAATTTTAAGGATCACCAAACAAAGACTTGTTCATATTATTACAGTAAATATGGACTGAGCTAATGCATTGTTAGACACTGAACACTTTGTAAGAGAGAAAAAATATTTTCATGCTTTTGTCCCCTGAACTTTCCTGAATTGGTTAGTTTCCCCTGAAGTTTTAAATTTTCTCCGAACCTACATTAAAGCTACATGTTCAGCATAATTTTGATTGAAGATATCATTTTTCTCAAGATTTGATCTTATACATCTAGTTAATATCATGTGTAATAGTGGCAAGAAAATTACTGGATAATAGTTGCCTGCTACAGGCTGAGTAACCGTAAGAGGCCAGTCTTCTCTATAATCTCGAACCTGCAAAACCATTGGCATAGATTTCAAGATAACATCACAGCAAAGCCATAAGTTCTCTTCTTATTCATTCAGTCATGAGAAGATCCATATGTAAAAATTACCCTTTTCAGAAAATCTCTTCCATTAGAGTCAGTGTAAAACACTTTGTCTGTCGCCATATTCGCCGTCAGTCGCGTGATGACCTCCTTGCCAAGACTATCATCTGTGGGGATTGGACCAATCTTCACAATATATATTTTGTTAGAACTAAACATTTTCTTTTGTTTTTTTTTGTCTAGAAGTATATTTTCGTGATCTAAAAGGTGATTAAAAAATAATTTGCTCACTGTGAATTCAATTTCAGCATGCTCTTTGTCCTTGTAAAGTCTTGTGACCTGACAAACAATCATACACCGAGATTGGAAAATAATGGAGTGCACTATGGTATAAACTGAAAATTTATTATTGAACAAATTCAGAAAAAAAAAAAAAAAAAAAA